AACGCAACTTTATGAAGTTTAATTCGTATGTGTAAAGAAAGAAACAACAACATCTTAAAATTGTTTTGTTCATACCTGCAATTTATATCAAATTATAATAGTATTTATGCCGATATCAAGAAATTCATATTTATGAACCATCACAACAAATAGAGCTGTAAAAACACAGATCCTAGAAATGTTTTGGTTCAGTTATTCTTTAACATAGACGCTGTATAATTTGAAACTTGAAGATTGAGTTCAATGCTAAGTAGATCACGAAAAACGTCAACATCTTTAACCTCTCTAAAAAGATTGTTTTTATACATAAAATAATGTATCATGATTCAAAAAGGACATATTGTCATTCATTGGCGAAACAAAATTCATCGAAAATGTGATCTGATGTTTCAAAATTAATGAGGTGTAGTCTTCTAAATACGTCATTATCATTTTTAAGAGCTCGGTCTCAGTTTCCGTCCATTACAGCAGAAGCTATCTGGTACGTAATAATTCAAGGAATATGTACTTTAGAAGTTAATGACGTTATTATTAATATTATCGTATAACTGAAAATTATGATTAAACTTTCATATTCATCAGAAATTGAGCAATTTTTATGTTGATATGCTTAATACTCCAAAAATACACATATTTGACGTAATAATTTATATACTTATCAATTGTTATGTATTATGTATGCTTCGGTGTCATCTGCTTAGTACGTGAGTGGTGATGGTTTAAACTTCATATGGTTAAAAAATGTTGTTACACTTACCACCCTAAAACACACACGTCTGATTTTTGACGTAATATTTCATAAAAAAAAATTCTCTCTGATTCTATTTTACATGTTTCGTTCTCACCTGCTTTGATTTATAAATATAAAATGGAATTCGGAATATAATTCTCTCAGATACATTATTAAATTGGGTTACGATATGTATCCAATAAATCGCAATAAAGATTATCTCCAAAGGATTATAAGATTAGACCAATAATCTACTGGCCAGGGTTAGTATTGATTAAGTCTGATTTCCATCTGCCATCTAATTATCGGCAAAACAGGTGATAATGAAGACTGGTAACATAACTAATTATTAGTTGTAATTATGTTATGTGGTAGCTCATTAAACGAACTCTCTTTGTAATCAATAGTTAACCCGCTACCTCATTCTTTGCTAACAAGAATAATGACTGGCTATGTCCACTAATATTTACACGGTACGTAGACACACTTATTAATATATTTTCTATGGTTTGCGGGTGATTTAAAAGAGTAATATGAACGAATGAAATACATCTATTGTCGTGACAAACAATGCACAAATGCTGATCAATAGATGAACGACAACAACTCTCAATAAACCCGCAGTGACACGGGATTTCATTTACGTTTCCATAACCATATCGTATTACAATTTTCAAATTATTATGTACCCATAGTACTTTTATTACTTCTGACGTCATGTAATGTATACTACACACTGGATATGTGGATGTATGTTTTTGTATAAAAAGAAGAAAAGGATCGTATTCTATGTGTCGTTGACAGCGTCTGGTGGTGAAGAAATCAAATGCGAGTAGTGAATGTATATAATAATAATACTGGATTTGAAACACCGTGACTTTATAGAATAAGTATAATAAATTGAGTCTGAGTAGTAGAAAATATTGATTGTGATTGATAGAAAAGACTTTTATTGACCTATACTATACTAACATATTATCTCCAACATATCTGCTTCCTAAGTGCCTGCTCTCTGAGTGACAGATTTATAGATTGGAATTTTAATAGAAGAATACTCTCTGTCCTTTAAAATAAGGTAAGGTTGAATTTTAATACAAACGTCATTATCATTAACGAAAACTTAATATTTGCTATTATTTACTAGGCCTCATGAAATATGATATAAATTTATTTACTTGTTGTGTCTATTTTATAAGTAAATGCTTCAAATTCTATGGTAGGCCTATATTGAAAACTCACTTGTATACACAAATGTAAAAACTGACAGAGTTTACAAATATAATGAAACCATCAAATTCTTTATAATATGACTGCAAACAGCTTGAAACCTTCGTGACAGGTAAACTCACAAATTTCAAGTTACTTTATTGAATTGTAAAAAAAAAACCGATTATATTGGATTAAATTTTATTTCCTACATTGATAACCCTACCACTCCCCTCTTACCCTCTTGTAGAAAATTATTACAACTAATAAAAGTGTCAACTGTTTAATTTATGTGTCAAACGTAGTGATCTAGCTGAAATCATACAATGCATATATGGAAGGAAACATACTCGGTAGTTGAATGTCATGTATGTAAAGTCTAATACAATGTACCATATACACCAATACATCAAATATCATTCTTGTCAAAAATAACAACGGAAACGAATTCATAGGCACACGATTATATTGTTTGCTTGGAATTAAACAGATTTGACAGAAAACAAAACCAACAGGGTTCTTCTTAAAGTATTGTTCCAGCTAAAACATCCAATGTATTAAGAAAGACTTCTTCAGAGGTGACAACTTAAACGAAACTTATTGTCCTGCATATGCCCATTACAAATCTCTCAAAATTTTGAATTATTTTTCTCAACTCAACTGGTACCAGATTGTCTGAATTCCGGCTGAAGAGTTTTCCTGTCTTATGGACAACTGTAATTGTGGTTTGATAACAAACTGAAAGTTGTCTATCACATATCACAATATAGGTTATCACACTTATCAACAAAAATATGTCGAACTGTTTACGACTTTAAATGTGGATTAACAACACTATTATATAGTAAGTGGATATAAATAATGTGTCTTCATTATCACAGATTATAGTCAAAACAACCAGGACACCAATAAACGGTAAAATTATATAACATGTCAATTTGCATGCCCATTCAAACCAACTTGAGTCGTTCAATAATCATGGTCGTAATATTAAGAAAAGCACTAACACGTAGGATAAGAATGCACAATTTCCTACGGCATATTGCAATTTGAGAGTGGTTGGCTTTTAATTCCAATCGCCAACCACCAGCCTTAAGCGGAACTACAAACCGGTTACGCCAATAGATCATAGATTGAATTTGATTATTGACTTGAAGAAGTCAATCTTGGTTGATTATAGAGAAAACGTTGATCGAATCATTGCTCTCAAGGATCGAAATTTGACCTGTTTACCAGGTGTAGAAGCAGTAGAAAAGGATTTGGCAAGGTTTTTTGATCCGTAGATCCACCGGATGCGTACACCTTTCACACAAGGATAACGTTCGACTACCAAGTTTCTGCAACAATGGTTCAACTAAATTTTGACGTAACAGGATATTCCTATAAATAAATTAGATCTCAGTGGAGATTGAGCGTCACGATTTAGAATGTTTTCCTTACTTTAGCCTAATTTTGACAAAATAGGATCTGCATTATATCTCAGATACGACAGTTTTGTAAGCACTTATGCATACACGTAAGTTCTTTGAGTTGACAGAACTAAACTACTTTACAGTTTATCCATGTAGAAACTTAATAATAAAAAAAATTACATCACGACCATTCGATATGACAAAAGTTAAGTACCCAATAATCCATTAAGTTTTCAAATGGCAACATAATTTAATGAGAGAAATGTAAATAACATTAACGAACTAGTCAGTCGATTTATGTTAGTTTTCTGCATTCTCTTATCACCAATTAAATATAATGATAACATACGTAGGTTTTAAATCCGATGGTTTCCTAGTAACCAATTTAGCATTACTTGTAGATGTAAGTACCTGACCACTCTGCTACAAAACAAGGAAATTGAAATATGGTAAATTAGAGTAATAATGTTGTTTTACAAAATAAGCATGTTAAGTAATAACAGTAGCTATGTGAATATGGCATGGACGATGGCAGAACATTAAGTACAAGACATATTCAACAGATTTTATAAGTTTCCAACTGTCAAGTAACTTTTGAGAGATATAGAATTTCTTGGCAAAAGCAAAAGGAAACAATGGTCAATGAAATTGCTGTTTTCTGTGGCTAGATTATGCAAAGATATAAAGACCTCGTCGATTTAATACCCTGTCCGCCTAAAGAAATGGTGATATTAAACGGTCGGACAATGTACAGGGTGTTTCCAATTTAGTGCTTGTAGCTGCACATCTGTAACCGTCTTAATTGTTTTCTAAGATAAATCTGTTTCAATGAACATGCAAAAGGCAGACACTATTCGTCTAAGGAAATAAAAAGACATTTTAAGCCAGGCTTGCTAACTTATCTCAATGTATTGTTGATCATGCCATAGCGCCTTCATTTGCCCCAAAAATTGAAAATTATTGTTATTTTAACTAATTTGTAATTCATTGATATATTATGATAAAGAATTGAATACAAATAGATAATAACCAAAACAATGATGTAATGCCGTATTAATTTTTATAAAGTTGATTTAACAAATTAAAGGAAATACAAAGTCTATATTTCCACTTTTTACAGTTAGTTAGTTAGTAGTAGCCTTTTACGCCTCATTGATTTCAATGATAACCACTAATTATATGTATGCCTCTCGGGTAATGTCCACTCAAAGTTGCTTCAGTGTAGCTATTGTAGAGGTTCTTCGGTAACAGGATATTCCGAGCTACAGAATTTGAATTATTGTTTAAGTTGAACTAGTCTTGAATAACGAACCTCTTGACTTTTATTTGATTTGATTGGGATTGCTTTGCACATTGTTTTGAACTTTTAAATCTCTCTTAAATTTCAACTTGAATAATACCAACAGGAGATCTATCTGGTATGGCTACTTTAGTATAGAATTTAAACTGTAATAAAGCAGCGTTCTATGCCTTCCTTATACATTTCCATTTTCCTTTTTCCATTTGGGAGACTTTGTAAATCTTGTAGACATACATAAATTTAGCAATAACATTTCCTTTAATATATACACACATATATTACAGCATTTGAAGAATGTAAACAGCAATGGCGTTACAAAGACATCAATGAAAAGAGAATTAAATTTTAAAAGATGTCGAGTCCAGCCAGACAGATGAACTCTAGGCGTCTCCCCCCATTACCAGGGAAAGGGGGTAAAAAAGTTGGACGTAGTAGACTGCCCGTAAGCAGTCAACAACCAAAATCTTACCATAAAGTACCAGATATGATCATAACAGGTAAGAACAAACCATCAATTATATTGGCCTTATTCATATATTGGTGAGATACTCATTTAAATTAATTCCATCAATGATTTTTCACTGAAATGTGATAACATATATAGCGTTTAATGAACTGTTAGAAGCAATTTATTGCGTGTTACTCAATTTATCACTCTTTCATTTTAATCAAAATCATAAAGGCCGGTAGCATATAGTGTTTTATGTAGTAAAAACAGGTGAGTTACAGTATTATTAATAGCGTATGAAGTCCTTCATAATCACTTTAGAATGGTTCAAATCACCGATCTTGTCTTGTCACATTTCTGCAATTAAACCAAACTCTATCCCTACGGAGGCCTGATTTTGAACATCGTAGGATTCCATTTCAGTTTAAGTTACGTCCCCTTGATATGATAAAAATATTTACGTGGTGATTATGCGTCTACCTTCGAACGTTTCGGTAAACCAGAATCTACATCGGAAGGACATATGAGGTATTTCGTCGAGTATTCTAGGACGCGCCACTTTACTATCGGCATTTCACAATACAATTATTTGTCAAGCAATATTGCGATCTGAATATAGTCCATAGCTTTGTAGCACATGATAATCCTGTTAGTCCTACTTTTGCAATAAATGCCATATTTTGACTACCTATTTATCAATGCACTATTTATCATAGCAATAAAGTTTTTGTTTTTATTGGATCCCGAATTATCAGTCTCTGGTGTTTAAACTAACAGAATTGCATGACCACGACACCCTGGGCAACAATAGCTGCGGTCAAATACCTTAATCGGTTGAAATGTAAAGTAGAACTTTCGCTGTAGATGGTAGAGCTTAATTCTGCTATTCCTTCCAAAGCAATGCAAAACTTATTCCAAACTGAGTGTTACCTCTTACGTTCTAAAAGAAACAAAGGAGGGGCTGTTACCAATTTGGCTCTCGCATAAATTATGTATGGAATTAAAATTTGATATTTGTCGTCTAAAACACTCTCATTGAATTATTGCGAAATAAACATTACAACAAATGAGAATGGTTTTGTCAAAGAATTCTAATAGATAAAATAATAGAAACAATTTGAGTAATGGAAATGAATGTTGACTTTGAGTGTGGTTTAATAATGATTGTTTAATGGATTTGTTGATGATTGAAATGACCTCATTTTAAAGGGATTGTAAAGAGGTTTTCTAAATTCTTTATGTGTATCGGGGACACTGATAGCTTTAATTTGGACCATTCCCATTTTCATTCCGACGTCTGTGGTTCTTGCAATTCCACTAAAAATAACATATGCCAATTAAATGCTTGTGTTATGACGTCCCGGTTATAGCTCCCCTCTAGTGACGTCATAAGACGCGTTAGTTTTAGTGGAATTGCAGGAACCACAGACGTAGGAAAGAAAATTGGAATGGTGCAAATTGATGCTATCAGTGTCCCCGATACACATAGAAGGTTTAGAAACCTTTATACAATTCTTTTAACTTAAAGCGATTTTGAAGTAGGCCCTATTTATCATTGCAACGAGGACAACATTGTTTCGTCAGTGTAAACTTCGAACATAAATCTAAAATCATTATCCATATACCAATACAAGCATAATATTTCATCACAGAATCAATAAAAAACAGTCTTTAGACTAAATGCTATCATATATCAGAAGCAATGTAATGGAATGCCAAATCCAGATGCCAACAGAATTATATATTTGCCTAACAATCTAAACAGACTGATTTCATGCAAATCTTTGATACATATTATGGCAGAAGACTAAGATGACTATATTTCAGATGATATTAGTAGCAATTATTCTTAATTTTATACAATTTAATTGCAAATTGCACGCAATGAACTAGCGATGTCTTCAATAGGAGCTTTATGAGTAGACCTGAATTTATTAGTTTTGATTAATTATTGTGGACGTTTACTCCATAAGTTATATATAGCCAACACACAAATAAAATCAATCGCCCGCATAATTTCAACACGTAGTGGTTTACGTTGTCATGGAAATCTATAAAACATTATATAAATTTTTCTCAGTATTTCAATGAAAATAAACTAACAAAACTAAACCCTAATGTCTTACAATTAGCAATTCGTATTTGTTTTTCGATCGATGATAATTAATCTGACAAGTCACGATAAAAGAAAGGTCACAATTATAAAAAAGTATATTAATTAACAATTCATCCTTTAGTATGAAACTTCAGTCCTTATTACATCTTCAAAGAAAGGTTCACTTCAGGTTGACTGGTGATCAGTGGCATTTCTAGGAAACATTAGTTGAGGGAACCGAGCAGGTCGGGCCACAGTCTATTCTGTCACTATGTAAATTGTTCGATTTTTTTAAAGTAGGGACGGAGGAACAAAGCCGGGCCAGCCTCTTTTCTGCACACCAACCCTGTCCCCATCCCCATACGCCACTGCTGGTGATTTAGAGAAAGCGTTACGCTCATATCGGGATACTGTCCGACTGCCAGCAACTGGATGGTATGAAATTGGCCACACGATCCAGTTATTGCTTGAAAGTATACCGTAAGTTACTGACAGCAAGTTGATTCATCCAGTTGTCCTCAATCATTTAAAATCATGCTGATTGCACATTCTGAAAGTAACTTAATGAATATTGACCATTTATTACGAAAATAAAAACAGAATTTATTATTAAATACGCCTAAAATGAATACTATTAAAATGTTTAATTTGTAGATATTGATGTAATAACAATTAGTGACAATCATGAAATTGAATGCAGATCCAGGAATTGATGGCCTGGGTTTGCCTCTTGCCCCATAATTACAGAAATGGACAGGTCAATGAGATCAAAGAACTCACATTTCAATTATTATCATCGAAGAACTCACATTTCAATTATTATCATCGAAGAACTCACATTTCAATTATTATCATCGGAGGACTCTCATTTCAATTATTATCATCGAAGAACTCACATTTCAATTATTATCATCGGAGAACTCACATTCCAATTATTATCATCGGAGAACTCTCATTTCAATTATTATCATCGGAGAACTCTCATTTCAATTATTATCATCGGAGGACTTACATTTCAATTATTATCATCGGAGAACTCTCATTTATTATCATCGGAGGACTCACATTTCAATTATTATCATCGGAGAACTCTCATTTCAATTATTATCATCAGAGAACTCTCATTTCAATTATTATCATCGGAGGACTCACATTTCAATTATTATCATCGGAGGACTCTCATTTCAATTATTATCATCGGAGGACTCTCATTTCAATTATTATCATCGGAGAACTCTCATTTCAATTATTATCATCGGAGGACTCTCATTTCAATTATTATCATCGGAGGACTCTCATTTCAATTATTATCATCGGAGAACTCACATTTCAATTACCAGTTTTACCATCAGTAGTTAAAGTTAAGTTCTGTTGCATTTAAATCTGATTATTTATAATTTTTTAGGATATAGTCCAATTCCTAGTGCTCACACAGAAAACCAATCACCATTTTTCAACCAAGGATCATCCTGGTCTATTCATGGTAAGTGCAGAGCGTTTTTTTTCAGTACATTCAATGTCCAATTTGTGATTATTATTTTGTTGGACTGTTAGACAAACAAAACAAACAAAGGGCAGGATAGGGTGCCGGTTTCAAATTTGAATTTGTGCATGTGTTTGTTATTCTTTGTGCGTATTTTTGTGCAAATAAACAAGTTGTACTGTGGTGTATGCGATTCATATATAACGACAACAATGACCGAATTATTTCAAGTGTAAGTTAAAAGTATGACAATCAGCTGGTCCTCTAATCTTAAAGAGGTTATAAAAAGTTCAGTTAGATAAAATTTGGGTTTTGGCACTCATGCAATTTATATTTTATTCAAATAGAATACCTCTCTTTCAACCAACACGGATGAGAAGCCTCTCAATTGTTTGAGATAATTCGGCACCACCAGAGCTACACAGTGTGAAGTTAGGAAAAGGGGGATTAAGCTTACATAATTTGTTTTGCTCTCGTTGCATTTTATTTTGTTAAGGTTTCGCTATACAAAAATACTTTGATAATGGTTTATTGGTCATGCAAAAAAGTCAGTAAGAAACGTTACATGGTAGATTTATATGTGGTAAAAAGGTGTTCAGTTTTTTTTTTGAAGTTGACCTCTTAATGTTATAACTGGAGTTGACCATGTGACATTTCATGTGAAGAAAACTATTATTAACTGTTTACTTTTTATCTGACCGAAGTGGCATGTTTCAGGTTTCAAGTTCACTTTAATTTTATAGAAATCTTGCGACTAAAGATAGAAAGTTTTGCTATTAAAATGTGCCATTTTCATTAAAAACAGTCTGAGGTCGTTTTTTTGTACTAACATACGTGGAATTATACTGTATGAACTAAGCCGTTTTTAAGGTGGGTTTATACAGAGCGCGAACGCGAACGCGACCGGCGCGACCGCGACCGCGAACGCGACTTTTCATCAGTTCAGTCATTCAAATAGAGCGCGAACACGAACGCGGAAAACCGTCGACGGCTTTCAATGCGGATCGCCTTTTTTGTTGTTAAACAAAGTGTGACAACAGTCAATTAGAAAGTAATTAATTAATGGTTTGGTCCAATGTTATTTTCTTTGTTAAGTTCCATACCATTGATGAAACAGGCAAAATAAATTGAATTTTTTTTTTAATCACACACCTGTCAGTCCAACCTTCTCTCCGATTCCCTTCCAAATATCATTTTTTACTGTCTCTTTGTAAGTTTTTTCAGCTTTGTCAAACAAAACTGGATTCTTTTCAACTTCTAAAATCAAAACTTCCGTTTTATCCATTGTTTGTACCCTACAAGCAAATTGGAAAAGCCATGTGCACAAGTTTCTATTTTAGGAAATAATGCAAGGGAGGTGGTACAAGCTGATTGGTTGATAGCAAGAAATCCGCCGCGACTTTCTGAAAAATTCGCTCTTGGGGTCGACCGCACGGACAAATATTTGTTCGCGTTCGCGTTTGCATTCTATATGAACGGTCCCTCTACAAAATGATGAAACCATTCCATGACGAAAAACCGCGTTCGCGCTCTGTATAAATGCACCTTAAATGCACCTTTACTGGGAATGCTTTGAATACGTGAGTGGCCGTTATGGTGTTGTGTCGTTCGCACTAAGCTGTCAACAACAGGTAGACTATCAACAAAAAGATAACCATGTGTGCTCTTATTGCACCCTTATCAATATCATTTTATTTTATATCATAAACCAATCTTTCCGTGATCAGTACAAAGATATTATTGACTCAGTCTTATATCATTAAATCGTCTCTTGATCTGAGCTTGGCCATTCTGTAATCCGATTTTCAACGATAAACAATTCATTAGAAGGAATGATCCATTGCATTAGAATCATTACTGATATGTGTAATCAACTAACCCATTGCCGTCGATTTCCGTAGAAACTAAAGGAAACTGAACCAAACCAATATGTAAGAACTTTCAGCAGGAACTCGAATATTTGACTGATAAGGAATGTTTTAAGATAAACAACAACAAATATAGATCTATTATAGAAATTGACAATATCGTATTTAAATAGAACATGTTAGTGCCCGTGTGACAAGAATGAGATTTATAGGTAATTAAATTGTTTGACATTATATTACTCTAGCCTGTATTTATTGTTATTTAGAAACTAAATTTCATTCATTCACTTGCACACCTATAGTTATTTTTAACAATAAAAATAATTTTTATTGAGAAAGTTTACATGCAGTTATACATGGGCAGGTTAGAATATTTGTAAATAAGATCTATATTTATACCATTGTTCCATAATTCAATTTATCTATAGATTTTTTCTTGGGATTTCTGAACGACGTAAATAGTGACGTAGACATTCAGATTTCAGTATAACCGAATATTGTTTTTAGTAGGATTACGGATTAAGATGAATTATGTTTGACCTGATTAAAGTTAATAATCCTGAATAAATGAGAAAATTTGTGTGGGATTAATCAAGTGTATAAGTGTAAATAAGACTGGTGTATTATTATTTGTTTGGCTACTGACCCCACTGGGATTTCAGTTTGTTTGGTTGTACTTTGGTCACTGGATACTAGACATTCACTCTGCTAACGGGATTAACCTGTACTTTCTTGATTTGAAAACGTTCTGTGAACCTCTTGATGGACCGATCGAGGCCAAAACATATATTTAAAGGATGGAGAATGGAAATTGTGCAAGTAGGTAACTTTTAAAATAAAGGATGGGATGATCTGCATGAATATATATAGCTTTGCAGCTTTGTTTTATGTTAAACTTGGCTTACCCTAGGTTACCCTGATGCAATATTATTTCATCTACAAAGAGCAAGTACTGTAGATTAAAAGCAATATAAGTTCTAATTGAATGTTTAATTATTGATTGTAATATGAAAGCTAATGGGTAATAACTCATTATGCTCTATGATAAGTGAACCAGTGAAATGCATTTATCGAGCTTTTATTTTTTCATGATGAGTATACCACGAATATTAATTGACATTTCGTAATTTCGCAAATTGATTATCAATCAATAATTTTCATTGACAATCTTCATTCCAAATTATACTCTTTACTTTACATCATATATAAATTATACTCTTTATTTTACATTATATATAAATTATTATACTCTTTACTTCACATTATATATATATTATACTCTTTACTTTACATTATATATAAATTATACTCTTTATTTTACATTATATATAAATTATACTCTTTACTTTACATTATATATAAATTATACTCTTTACTTTACATTATATATAAATTATACTCTTTACTTTACATTATATATAAATTATACTCTTTACTTCACATTATATATAAATTATACTCTTTACTCTACATTATATATAAATTATACTCTTTACTTTACATTATATATAAATTATACTCTTTACTTTACATTATATATAAATTATACTCTTTACTTTACATTATATATTAATTATACTCTTTACTTTACATTATAAATTATACTCTTTACTTTACATTATATATAAATTATACTCTTTATACAATATTATTCCAATTATTCATCCTAGTTTCTATTCCAAATCAATCTCTTTAATTGAGGAATTCTTAACCTTAATCTAAATCATACTGTTAAGTTTATAAGTTTATAATATACTGTTACGTCTACAATTTAAATAACTAAGCTGTTAAGGTTTTTACAATTTAAACCATACTGTTTAGTTTACAATTTAAATCATACTGTTTAGTTTATAATTTAAATCATACTGTCAGTAAGTTTAAAATTTAAATCATACTGTTAAGTTTATAATTTAAATCATACTGTTTAGTTTACAATTTAAATCATACTGTTTAGTTTACAATTTAAATCATACTGTTTAGTTTACAATTTAAATCATACTGTTTAGTTTACAATTTAAATCATACTGTTTAGTTTATAATTTAAATCATACTGTTTAATTTACAATTTAAATCATACTGTTTAGTTTACAATTTAAATCATACTGTTTAGTTTATAATTTAAATCATACTGTTTAATTTACAATTTAAATCATACTGTTTAGTTTATAATTTAAATCATACTGTTTAATTTACAATTTAAATCATACTGTTTAATTTACAATTTAAATCATACTGTTTAGTTTACAATTTAAATCATACTGTTTAGTTTATAATTTAAATCATACTGTTTAATTTACAATTTAAATCATACTGTTTAGTTTACAATTTAAATCATACTGTTTAGTTTATAATTTAAATCATACTGTTTAGTTTATAATTTAAATCATACTGTTAAGTTTATAATTTAAATCATACTGCTCAGCTTAAAAGCTGTACTGATAAGTGTCACGAACACGAAAGTTATTTTGATCATTTTGGAAATTGAAACCATATAAACATTTATTTGAAATGAAGCTGAGAATATCGTCTTATGTCCGTGTTCAGTGACATTCACAGTTAAACACTTATTCAGACAATATTTCATAATCAAAATAAGTGCAACATACTTTTATTTCTAAGATTTTATTTGGCTTTTGATTACACCTACACCTTTTCTATTTTTCACAGAAATAATATCGAGTATTTATTTAGTTTATCACATGCTTAAAGTGACAGTTTACACAAATTTACAAGATATATTTTGAAACACTTACATGTATATTATATTCGAGAGAAAGAGTCGAAATAAAACTAGTTGTAAAACTAACTTCACTTCATAGTATACATGTATTAACAAAACTCATTTATTGTTGTTCACTGGGAGCTAGAAATTAAGTTAAAAGTCCTGTTTTAATAAAGCTAGCTAACCAGTGACGTTTTTACCATTTGAAACTGGCCTAATATTTTGTTAAGGTAAGAGGACGTCACTAAGCACCCTCCCTTAAATAATAATACATCGATTTGTACATGCAAAAGAATGTAATGTTTCCTCTATCGGTATACTATCAGAATCAATAACTAAAAGTAGACCCTATGCTCGATTTACAATTATCTACGCATGTACAATAAATGGGCCTACTAAAAGAAACTGGGTTTGTCAATCCGGCGCTGCTTTAACATCTCACATACCTGATATTATTCATTTGGTATATATTTGCTACCACAAAAAAAAAGTCCCAAAGTTCGATGGATAGTATCTCAGGTGTACTTGTACAATATTTATTCGATAAATTTCATATTTTCAGGGTTGGACAATGGCATCTCGAAGTATATCTGTGAGAATTTTGAAAGAGATCAGTTTACCAACAGCTGAGATACTACCCATCGAACTGTGGGACGTTTTTTTTTGGAACACCTAATATATTTTGTCGGTTATTCGATCAGATCCAAAATCTTAGTAGATCTAATTACACACATTACGCCTATCCATTAATTTCAGATCTGAACCGAGATGCACTGTTCCATTATCTGAATCAAAATCCTGAAGTATTAAATAGTTATGTATTATCACAAGTTAGTGAGGAGAGAATAGAAAAATGGTATCTTGTTAAAAAATCAAAACATACTCATCACATCATAGAATCATCAACAGAATCATTTAGAATCAATGGTAAGCTGTTTACATAATAAAATAATGTATAAATTAAAACAAAATAGGTCCGACCAATGTTTGTTTTCCTTAAAACAACTATAATCATGTACCCTACCATCTATCAAAATTTTCAGGAGACCATAGCTTATAAAGTGTCCCTGGCTCGATTAAACGCAGTATAATAATAAATATATTTGTACGTTACCATGGAAGCTATTCATCTTGTCTTGGCTGGATAGATAAGAGTAAATATCAGCAACTCTTTAATAAGATTTAGTCATTTGTATTCTCAAAAATAATAAAATCATTTTTCACATACTTGCATACTTTTAAAAAAATATAATGTTATGTTATTTTTGTTGCAGGAGACTCATATCACCCATCAGAAAACTTCAATCATATATCAAAATGTAAGGTAAGTAGACTCATACATAGAATATGATAAACCTATTGCCCAATGCAATATCCCTTTTTTATATTTAGAAACATCTGGAACAACCAATTCGACCCATCTCTATATCCAATACTATGTATTGTATACCGGTTGAACTAATAACTTGGATATCTCATGACGATATTTCGTGTTGTAAAGTTCATATTGATACAACTGTATTCTATTGTTTTCGTTTCAGTCACAGATCCAATCAACTAAAGGAAAAGTGGCTAAAGTTTTATCAAAAGATATCAGTCATCCCAATGGTAGACATATTGCTTTAACAGAACTGGCGAATTGTGTAGTTAAAGGTAAGCATTAAACGCGCAAAATCTGCTTCCATGAACAGTGTTGACTAATAGATGTAACACATAAACCCTCATATACTTGTTCAAGTTTCGATATGATACAAATTGAAAGGCCAGGGTAATATTGATCAAGATCTCTGAAGAAATGCTTTAATGTGACTATTATTATTGCCTTGTTTTTTTTTGTAGCTGTGCATGCCGATGGAAGTAATTTACATTGTGTAGACTCCACGACTCAGGTAATTTTATTTGTACTAATTGACATATTGTATCATTGAAATACACTAAAATATATACATTGAATAATTAATTCAATGACAAGTTACTGAAATTATTTATGATGTAGACCTCTAAGCAAACGGACCAAATTCCTTTTGTCAAAGTTTGGACTAACCATATTATCTACAATATTTGACTATAACATTACGTTGGTGTGAATCATGAGCCATTTTTTTAAATTCTGTAATCCTGATCACTATATGAGTCCAGTGCACAATCGTTTCTGGTGGTTGCGTTGTAAAAATTTCTCATTCAAGGGAAGTAAATCTGTCGAATAACTGAAAATAAATTAAGAAACTAGGTCATCGTTTCAGAAACTATCCAGGTTCCTTTTATAGAATTTCAATATTTGTCTTTTCAGGAACTTATCTTAATTGAGAGGTTTGTATAGTTGTTCTTATATAGGCCTACAGACACCATCATTGTTTTTTGTACCATAAAGAAAAATTGTACAATTTATGCTCATCAGAAGCCTTTTGATCTACAGTTTTTACATTGGAAACCAATGCGATCTCCAAACCTTTTCTTGATTTTCTGACATTTTATATTACAAGTACAAACCTTGTATAATACGTGTTTTTTTTATAATTATATGATATTTACTTATTTCTTTAGTGGTAAACCTGTGAACAATAAACGGGAGAAAATATCAGAGAAAAAAACCCTGGCGACTGAAGTTGCTTTTAAAAAAGAAACTATTCGAGTGAAAGATGTTGTTTTAGATGAAAGGCTTCCTTATGGTTTAGGAAGTACCTCTAATGATTCATATTCTATGTTAGCTTTACCTATAATGGATGAAGGCTCAAATGTTTTAGGTAAACTTCTTCTTTTAAGTACTTGACCAAAATGATATTCAGTTTTGAACCCTTTTCTTTCTGTTACCCCTCTCAAGGTCCTTGATCGTTCCCCCTATTAATCTACTCAGTGATATTCTAGTAGGTTTCCCCTGATTGCATAGAACAACTTAAAATATAATTGTCCAAAAGAGTTATGCTAGACTACAAAGCGTCTCATTATGTTACAAAAATTTTCACTATTTCCCCCTGTTTGAAAACCCTTGCAGTAGTTGAATGCTGCACTGAACATTGTAAAAGTAAGACTTCGTAATCAGAACCCTTTATTTATTGAATTGTGCGTACAATATAAAAAAGGAATCCACAATTAAATTTTTGTTTCTTAGGAGTTCTGGAAATATTCAGGAATTCTAAGCATGGTCAATTCACAGAGGGCGAGGAGGAGGTAAGAGATGTTCCATTTTTGATATTTATGGTCTTTATCAGATTGTCATGTTGTTATTTTCTTATGTTATCCTGAATATGAATGTTTTACCCTGTTAAATGTGATGTACATGTGCATGTACATAATTAAGTATATTGCACTATTCCTACTCTTCTGGATTTAGTGGATGTAAATAAATGTAATGCTTCACTCTGTAAATATGTTTTCTATCCATTCAGTTACTCGCTTTAGTATCATGTTACAAAGTACATAATATTTACTTCAAACGAATTCTTTTGCCAGTCACTGTCGTTTTGTCATAATTGATGTTTCAAATATTGTATGTTATTTTATACTTGATTGACGCATGGAATTATCTGTAGAGTAAAGCACATTTTGTTATTGTTTGCATGTTTTGTTTTAAGGTAGTATCATCATTATTATTATGGTCTGATTTAATGATAGATTATAGTGAGGTAATTGTCTTTATTGTGCTATTATTTACCATTAGAGTATAGGGACCTAACAAAAATAATTTTTATTTATATTAATACTTTTTTCACATAGACATAAGGTAAATCACTTTTCATTCCATCTATTTATAGGTTTTTAAAAGTTATTATAATTGTTCATTTAAGGCACAAAATTTTAAATTTATATCTCAAACTCACATTTTTATAGCGTAGTTATTTAATATATTTCAATTAATATACTTACTGTGTACTAACGTCGATATTTGAATATTTGTCATAAACCTGTAAGTTTAATATTATTTTTAATGATTTATAAGTTTCTAAAAAAAGAAAATGAAAGATTCAGTTAGATTAGTGCAATTTATACCTTAAAGGTATTGTAAAGATATTTTCTAGACTAGACGTTTGTGGTTCCTGCAATTCCCCAAATACAAGTGTTGGATGACGTCACAAATCGCGAATTTGCTTTATCGCTTAAGTGATTAGTGACGTCATCAAATACATAGTTTTAGTAAAAGCAGGAACCACAGACGTTTAATTGAAAATTGGAATTTTGCTAATTGGTGCTATTCTCCCCGATATACATAATTTTTGTTTTCGAAAACCTCTACAATTCCTTTAATATTTAGTTGAACAATTAAATATTTCTTACAGTTTTGTTTAGAATTAAGTATTAATACTTAGTTTAGTATAGTTGAATATTTATTACAATTTTTTACTAACAGATTACAGGAACGATATTAGCGTGGGGTGGACTACTCTTACAATATGCAGAGGTAATATCCTTTTTCATAATATACTATTTATTCTGTAGAAATCTATTTTTATTGAATTTTCCCCAAAATATCCGATCAAATGTGCCAATAGGCATTAAAAACACTCTTAAGGCCATTCGTTCATCAACGTAAAAATGACTGTTGTCTTGAAATTGTAATTATGTTTACTTACAGTGATGTTTTTAATTCAATTCTGATTACAGATACACTCTATAATGACCAAACAAAGAAAGTTGCACGAGTTTCTGTTAACCGTTACAAAGTAAGAAACTTCTTAATATATTTGTCATTTCATACTAAATTACAACAACAAAATTACCAACTTTTTAAGGCCCACATAAGAGTAAGCATCGTTTGCGAAAACGCGAAGGTTAAAATTATGCTTTATAAAGTTTTTAAACTTTAGCGAACATAGAGCTGTCAGATCGGTTTCGACAACTTCTTGTCCACCAACAGAGTCACCAACTGTGTGGATATATATGAACCAGTATTATAAGAGCATGTTCACACTTTATGGCGATGTGATAAACATTTCAATTTGTTAATGGATTATTAGAGTACTTGCCTTCAGACAAAGTTTTAAAAAGAAAAACCTAAAATTGAAATGATTTTAATTGATTGTTAGTATATTAATCATTCTTATAATGTATTTTTTTACTAGATGCATATTTCAAGATATTGTGAGCATGGATGGTGTCATCATGAAAATAATGGTAAGTTTTCTATGTCGTCAAATACCGTTCAACATTCATACATTCCAACTTTTAACATCATTTGAAGACTATTGTATCCTGCAAATGCATGTTGATTTGTCTCAAAATATTAATTGGCAATTATAGATCAGCAGATATCTAAATCCTCTTGACAAATATGCTGAATTACAAACAACAACGTAATGTAATTGCTTCTGACTATGCCTGATTTGATTCCTCAAGACATTATGTTTTGTGTTTCAAAACAAAGTAAATTCAGCAAAAAATTACTTCCAAAACGAAAACATGCTTAGAAATATCCATTTAATTTTTCTCGTTGCTTTCTAACGACTTTTCTAATATAAGTTAGAATGTTTATCTTTATCTTCTGATGATCCTTCTGATTATTTGGTACTTTAATATATTATTCAATTTTGGAATTTAATTTCTTGAATAATTCAGCAGACTATGCGATTTTCAGAAAGATAAACATTTGTATATAGAATACTGCTGAGATTTCAGATATTCTGTCAGAAATCGTATGTTTTGAAAAGAATTATATTTGTATATCAAATTATATGAAAAATGTTTATTTGAGAGGCTTCAGAATATTATTATGTTAAACTGGCAGTTGCTTACAATTCAAAACATTTTGTGTTTTTAAACCCGCAATTCTGACAGAGTATCTTGATTTTTTTAAGAAGTATTCATAAGCATTTTCACTCATGTAATCTGTCATCTTTTTCTGTTGTTATTCCTTTCCGTGATAAAAATCTGTTTAAAAGCTAACATGGCGTTATATCGCTTTGCATTAAGCCACAATCCCTTAAAAGTAACTAATACTCTACTAATGCTTAATAAGCTAACATATTCACCTCTCTTTATGAATTATTGATGTGTATACAATGGACCTCCGTTTAACTGATACCCGGAAACCCCACTTTGCGCACGCTTAATCCGGCTATCCGGTTTTCGTTTACATTAACGAAATCTTCAAATCATAACCGGATTTACATAACAAAATAGATTGTCAAATGAAGACAAAATTTTACAGAATGTAGGAATACATCAACATTCAACACTTCAGACACATCAGACACTGGGGAATATTTCTTGCATCCATTGTAGATCAATCCTTCCCAAAGCCTTGTTAGTTAGACTTGGTTAGTTAAATCTTGGCCTATAAGTATAAAAACATAAGAGTATCCCAGACGTGATAAACGGATGAAATTTCTTCACTACTATGGACGCTTCTTGGGTCGCTAATTTTTGAAAAAACTCCAATAAAAGATCAGATGTCTGGCCCTACCCATGACGAAATCTCATCCGTATATTACGTCCGAGAGACTGGGGCTAGCAAAAGATAAGAGCAATGTCAGATCTCAGTCATCTGTATATTGAAACAGAAAGTATTGTAAGTATAGAGCGAAGTAGTTGGTAGCATTTTTCAATGTTTAGAACTTCTTTGTGATAGTTCCGTGTTAGTTACTCTGATTAGATTTTATCATGCACCAACTTATTTTTTAACTATTAACATGTTGTTTATTTTTGTTTAGTTTGCTTTTAAATGTTTGTCACTTAGCACACCTCTTTGGTTATTTCTACAGAATTATGCCCAAAAGCTGGTTAGTGCTGACAGAGCGTCTCTGTTTTTGGTTGACAGTCAGAGACATGAATTGTATGCGAGAATTTTTGATATCGGTAATGGAACATCGCCATCATCTAATGTACAACAAAGAGAAATCAGGTCAGGACGATAGGCAAGATATTCCTAATATGGAATAATGTTTCTCTATTATCATTTTGTAATTTCTAATGTGATATTCAGATGATTATAAAAGTTTTACCAGGGTTTAAAGTTTACAAAGTGAGAATATAGAAACATTGTTTCTCGAAGAGTCTTTATTCATGCACTTTATTACATTAATATCTAGCGTCAAAATCATGCTTTCTCGATATAGAACTATGCTAAGACATTAGTAACGGCAGATAGAGCGTCGCTGTTCATGGTCGATTGGAGGACCAAGGAACTTCATGCTAGAATATTTGATACAGGGCAGCCCGAAGATGGGATTAAAGAACCACCAAGAGAAATCAGGTTTGATGTTTTTGAGTGCATTCGAAGCCGTAAGGTGATACTGTGGAAACGACATCGTTGCAAAAATGCGGGCACGTTCTGAAAAATCAAATATCTCAAAATGTCCTCGAGCCTTAAAATACAATACAATAGTGTGGTTACAAGATAGCGTGGTTTCGTGTAAGGATGTATTATTGGTCTTCAGAATCACAATTAGGGAAATAATTATTGATTAAAGCAATATTAATATAAATCTGAAAAAAATTGATTGACTCTATCTGGTCACTCTACTCTATTTGCTCATATTGTAGATTTCCAATGGATAAGGGTGTTGCAGGTCATGTGGCGTCTACAGGACAAATTTTAAATATTACAGATGCCTATGGGGATAAACGTTTCAACAGGTATGCTGCAACGCTGCAATGACCTTTCATTTTTATACGCCCACATATTGTCGTCATCCATGTCCGTCGGTCGGTCTGTCCGTCGACAATTGCTCGTAAACACCCTAGAAGGCTCAATTCTTGACTGATTTTGACGAAACTTAATCTTTTATTATCACCCAAGGATGAATCCTGTTGAAAATATTTAGTATGAATTTTATCCCTTGTTCTTGAAAACGCGTTCAATTTTAACTTGGAAATACTATAGAAGGTTCAATTATTGACAGATTTTGACGAAACTCGGTGTACATGTTTGTAATCACCCAAGGATGAAGCCTATCGAAAATCAGAAAAATCTAAATATAATTAGTATGAGTTATTGCCCTTGTTCTTGAAAACGCAAGTAAACACTCCAGCATAATTCTTGGCGGATTTTGTCAGAACTTGGTGTGAGTGTTAGTAATCACTCAAGGATGAATCTAATAGAAAATCAGAAAAATCGGAAAATAATTACTATGAGTTATTGCCCTTGTTCTTGAAAACGCGTTCAATTTTAGCTTGTAAACACTCTAGAAGGGTCAATTATTGATGGAGTTTGACGAAACTCGGTGTGATATTTGTTAAAATATTTTGAAAATCAGAAAAATCCAAAAATATTTAGTATGAGTTATTGCCCTTGTTCTTATAAAGCGTTCAATCTTTAGCTCGTAAACGCTCTAGAAGGTTTCATTATTGACAGATTTTGACGAAACTTGGTGTGAATGCTTGTTATCACCCAAGGATAAACCCTTTTGAAAATCGGAAAAATCCAAAAATATTTAGTATGAGTTACTCATTTTACTGCCCTGTTCTTAAAAACGCGCTCGTTTAAGGCCAAATTCTTGACAGATTTTGACGAGACTTTGTAATATTATTCAGTATCGCCCCATATTGTTCAATAGAAGTGTATGACTGAAGGTAGAATCTTTCATACTAGACATTCTTGACAGATTTTGAAGAACCTTAGTGAAATTTTTTATTATCACCCATGGATGAACCTTAATGAAAATCAGAAGTCAAAAAATGTTTATAGGAGTTATTGACCGTGTTCCTGAAAGTGTTTTCAATTTTTAGCTCGTAAACACTTAAAGGCACGATTTTTGCCGGATTTTGGTAACTTGGTAATATCATTCAGTATCGCCACAAAAAGTTCAAAAGTAGTGTATGACTGAAGGTTGAATATTTCATACTGGTGATTGTGACTGCACTGCTAAATATTTTTATTTAAAATCAAAGCTGTCAGTGGGCGTATATTACCTTGCCTGGCAAGCTATCTTTTATGTTTAGAAACATCTGGAGATTACAAGCCCAGTCTCAGAGAAGCATCAGTTGTTCCATAACATTTAAATGCACAAAGGGTTTTTGATTTAGACTATATTATCACAGCAGAGTCATGGGACGAATTGTGTGCCATGCGCCAAATAACAATATTGGATATTTTGGTTTACGTTTATTTACTGTGTTTTGATTTATTTCCGTTTTTTATCATAGGGATGTTGATTTACAGACAGGCTACCATACCAAAACTATTTTGTGTATGCCAATTTACATTCGGGGCAAGTAAGTGTCACTGCATATTTTCAAGAAATATATGTAAAGTAGGTAAAGGCAAAGAATGGTATAAATAAAGGTTTTAGAATCGAAAACAAGTTATATCGGTTTGGTTAATTGCAATCGGTAATGTAAACTTGCACAACCACTAGGTCTTTTTTCAGGTATTCAAGTCTTATTTTAGACATTTCCGTTTCGGACGACAACTTTTTCAAGCTATCCATCTCACCATGAATATAATACATGTTCATGATATTTCTCTCATAGTTTTTTATTTTATTTTAGTATTATTGGTGTTGTACAAATGGTAAATAAATTAGATGGTTTTTTCTCGCGGACTGATGAAGAAGCCTTTGAAACGTTTGCGGTTTATTGTGGTCTGGCGCTACATCACGCTAAGGTGATAGTGATATCATTACTTTACTTTAATTTGACCATTAAAATCACTCGTAGTTTAACCCTTTGCCAGATCCTCCGAGGAATATTATCTTGTTGTACCCTAAACTTTATTAGACTATTGGACAGTCGTTAAAAGAAACCAGAAATAATAATTAATGATTTAAATGTAATATATGAAACGAAATACAAACAACTTATTATATAGTTTACATTATATTGATATTATCTATCCTGTAGCTGTATGAGAAGATTCGAAGATCTGAACAGAAATACCGTGTTGCTATTGAAGTATTATCTTATCATAACCAATGTACTGAGGAAGAATTACGACAATTAAGAGAATTAAACTGTCCAGGAAAATTAACCGAAGTTACAACGTTAGTTTTATCTGTACTTTTTCATATAATATAAGCATAGTACACTTTTCGCTCGGACTTTCTTTTCAATTGAATTATTATTTTATTTGACCGAAAGGTTGATCGTATAAAATGTAACTTTTCATAGGAGTATTTCACCATGACAAAAACCATATTTGGCATAACGTTTGGTATCTATACAAAGCTGAACCATTAATGAGTCCATCAAACCATTGCCAGATATTCTACAATGTCCCTGTTTATTTATTTTAGTTATGAATACTCACCGTGGTCAATTAATGATACAGAAAAACCTATGTACGTTTTAGATATGTTTAAAGATCTTTTTTCTTATACGAGGTAAGAAGTTTTATCTGTTTTTTTTAGTACAGTTAATATCATATGGAGGAGTTACAGTCTAGTACGTACTGCGAAGCTTCATGCAATTGTTTTGGTATTATATTGACAGCAAAAGAATGTACTTGTTTGTTGCTGTAAAATATGATTGGATAGAGTGATGTTGAATAGTTACGATTTATACACTAAAAATCCGTCTACATGATTTCGGAATCATCGCCATTCACGTGAAGCACAATGTCACATCAGCTTGATTAGAATAACAAAGGTCCTTAATATATATTAACGCAAAATTTCTTTCCAACCCTCGCGAGTTGCCACCATCAAAGAAAACTATAGATCGACGTAATTGTGACTATCGAAATCATTTTAATCATAATTTAGAGACTTATTCTGATACTAGCCCAAAATTAAATCTATGAATCAAGCATGCATATCTTTGCTATGTTTCAGTATTCCTCCAAGTGATCCCAGGTAAAGTGTGCACACTGCTACAGATTCATACTGAAATCCTATTTTCTATTATTTGAATAACGGCATTCCTTCCTATATATACTAGTATTAATTTCATATCCTCTCATGGTTTGATTTATTGAAACATTTTTCATTTCTGATGGTTACTGAAGTAGATAATCAATTTCATTTTTTTAAGTGATATTTTTAATCCTTTATTTTTCTGATTGTTTTTATCAAGTAGTGGGTAATGATTTTAATTTCTAAAATATTTTATGTTGATTTTTTATATATAGTAACATAATAGCCTACACAATTCACTATCCGTTTACAATAAACATTTGCAAATACTGTGATTATAGATTTTACAATTTACTTAGAGTAATAGAGAATAGAATCCTTATATATTGACAATTACCAAAATTGTGGCGAGGTACTTTGACTAATATTTTCAAGGCATCCAACCGAAGGGGAAAAAGAAATCGAATATTTGTAGGAAAGCCCACCTTCATTAGAAACCTCGTAGACAGACAGGTGTTCAACGATTTCTTGCTTACGGAGGTCTAGACTTCAGCTTGTCACTTTTTGTTGAGTAAAATTTTACGAAAATTCATCATCATTTTGAGTATTAAAATCAATTTCCTAATCGGATTCGTCACTGACAACATTATGATATATTGCTATCACTGTCTTGGACAATATTCACAATGCCATGTACAGAAAACGTTTGATTTTCGGTCATTTTCAAACGAAAATATATCTTAAATTTTCAGTGAACAACCATTTGGCTTTGTTTACATGTATGGATATGAATTTTTACTTTTTAATCATCAAATATTTCGAGAACAAAAAATTGGATAGGGAAATACCGACGAACAGACAATTAATTTGGTATGGCTTAAGTTATTCTATTGTTATTACACGATAACTTCAGGCACTCATGGTTTCCAACAAATATGGATAATGGAGCTATAAAATGCATTAAGGAAGTTTCTCACTTAAAGAGTATGCAAAATTTCCATCCTAAAACGTCGTAGATTATACCTTGCTGAAAATATATGTGTAATAAGTAATTTACAGCTATGTATCTACTATAAAACTGAATGTGTTTAAATTAAGATTTAAAAACAGAGTGTACTAATTGTGAAGTAATCAACTTGACATAGGCTACTAAAAGACTCGATATTTTTTATCCTGTAGAACCTTTAGAACACATTTCTCTACAATAAGGTGTTTATTTAATTTGTACAGTAGTTTAGTCGTACCTACTAAAAACATAATGAATTTTAAATGTTTACATAAGCCTTTAGAATAGTTTTAGAGTTTAAGAAATGACCGCAGGATTTGAGTCATAACTTCCAGATAAGTTAAGGGACACATTTCTCTAGATTGGTGTATAGTTTCATAATTAAAGAAACAATCTTAATGCCCCTTTAACGTGATTTTGTTGCGAAATGTTACATAAATGATATTTCGTTTCAGATTTGATATTAATGATCTGATGAGATTTACTTTGACAGTAAGAAAAAATTATCGCCACGTACCATATCATAACTGGGTTCATGCCTTCTCTGTAGCCCACTCCATGTTTACTGTAATAAAATGCAGCAATCATCAATTTACTAGTAACGAGGTAAGGGTTATCAATCATAGCTTACGTAAAAGATTTTCAATTCAACCACAATAATGTGAATTTTAAATGTTTTTAACGGTAGATTTCTAATTTAGTTATCAACTAACAATGATGAACATAAATGGAGCTGGAAAAATAGCTTAGTTTGAGCATTTTACCAATTTCAGCATGGCTTATTTAATATAAGGATTTTATTCCTTACAATGATTCTTTTGCATGAGGTGACAATATAGCAGAACATTCCCCTGGGAAGGTGTGTTGGTGCCTAAACTCATTGTAATCGGAGTTGCAAGCGTTTCTTTTAAATTAAGCAATGTTTACTGTTTAATTAACTAAACCAAACCAAGAGTGGGTTTTGCCTTTCCAATCATTTATTGGTACTGATAGACAGTTAACCAAAATATTTTTATGCTCATCTTGATGAAGCATAAATATAAATGTTATATTTATTTTGAGTATTTAATTTGCAGTGCCTGGCTTTATTTGTTGCTTGTTTATGTCATGATCTGGATCATCGAGGCAAAACTAACGCCTTCATGGTTAAAAGTGCATCACCTTTAGCGGCAATTTATTCTACCTCAACAATGGAACATCACCATTTTAATCAGACAGTAGCAATATTACAGGTAAAGATTTAGTATTTACTAAAAAGACATACAATCAAATAAAAAAATCGCGACCTAAGTATATCAAATCAGGAACAATAATTGTATAGAACTGGAGGAATACCATCAGGTATATCGAAAAGAGAAAGCATAGTAGTTCAAGTACTGCAGTTTGTATATTTTGATTATAATTTCTGTGGTTTTATTTTCAGCACGAAGGTCACAATATATTTAAACACTTAAGTTCAGAAGAGTACAAGCAGGTAACATTTTATATATTACTATAAGCTTCTACGTGTGATACTATTATGTCTTTTTATGCAATGGATTGGATTAATAATTTTCTATGAACCGTTTGCTGAAAGTTTACTGGCCTTATCCGTGTGTTTCACATAAAGTGCATATCTTTAGCAAATGTACTGAAATTCTAGAAGACGCTCTTTCACTAAATAGTATATTTCCAGCTGTTGGGTGACATCAAGCATTGTATTCTTGCAACCGATTTGGCATTGTTCTTTGGAAATAAAGCAAGATTGAAGGAAATTGCTGACAAAGACGAATTTTCATGGGCAATACCAGAACACAGGTAGGTGATGACATTTAATAAATTGAATCTAATATACTGTTAATCCAGGAGGTAAAAAAACGTTTACCACCAACTAAGATAAGATATTTTTTTAAAAAAGTAGAGAAAAATGAAAAACTGATGCAATAACTGATTTGAATTATGTGTTAGTTCAGTAATCAGATTTAAATCCCGAATCTGTTTGATATGAAGAGAATCGTAAACGAGTGCTCATGTAATATGAAATTTATCAAATGAGTTGCCAGATATTACCCAAGCCTTGACGACGAATTTTATAAATTTGATATTAAATAAACACGATATAAATTCTATTTATCACACAGCTATCAATAAACGCAAATTAATTGTAAAATTATATAATACCTTGCACTGTGCCTTCATTTTGGACGACCTTTTTACACCTTTCTACAAAATGTCCATGTGCGTAACAAAGTAGATCTTGGTAAAAAGAAATCACGCCCTTAACCTTCAATTCTGACACAGTCATCAACTTCAAAGAATGCTATGATATTATATGGTTCCCGAATACATGATCTAATTTGCATAGTACTTCACCTGTGTGACGATTTCATAGTGAACCTGTCTTAAGTACCTGAGAACAGAAGTGTTATGTGATAAATGAAATTATGACTAAAATAAACCTTTATGTGTAGATGATATTGTTAAGAGTTTTATAACACCATGTTTTGAAGCCATATTCACAAGTGACAAATAAAACAACTAAATTACAAAAGCATTCTGCTTATCTGTAAATACTTATTTGACAAAATATATATATATATATTGCTCCTATTGTTTTTTTTATTCATATGCTTTTATGTGCGCTTTGTAGACGTTTACTGCGAGCGCTTGCTATGACGGCATGCGACCTTTGTGCAATGACAAAACCATGGGAAGTCCAGCTATATAGCGTCGATGTCATCTACCAGGAATTCTGGGACGAGGTGATGTCTTCAAATGTTATCAGATAAATATCACGTTCTGCTTACTTTCATTGTATTTTGGTTCTTCTCTTTTGATATTAGTGTTGTTTACTTTTATTATGTTATTTTTATTTTAAATGGCTGATTATTTCTTTTTGTCACTTTGTGGAGATGGTTTTCTTTATCGTTCTCTCTTTCATAACTGCAGAAGACTTCTAATGGCTATTTCTATGACTGGGTGTGATCTCTGTGCCATGCATAAACCATGGGATATACAACTGAATTTAGTATCAGTCATAATGGAAGAGTTTTGGCAGCAGGTAGGGTTCACTGAAAATCACCCTTTACCTCAACCCTTTTCAAATGGACTATATTTTTCATCTTTATTACAATGTTTTGAATGAATGTTTCGTTTTTCACAAATTTTATGTTGACATGGCTCACATCCACAACTGTTTTCAGTTTATTATTATAAAAGCTTAGTTGATTCAGAAAATGTAGTCATGACACGGGGGATAGATCTTGGACTTCACATTTTCTTTGACCTGTCTGCGTCTTCTGGAAACGATCTTAGCACTAGGTTGTCCTAGTGATAAGATCGTTTCTAGAATACGCGGCCTGATCATGATCGCCAATAACTTGCAATAAGGACTGTATTTAAAACTATGGTCTCCTTATAATTGAAATTAGATTTATATTTTGTATGCAACAATTCACAAACAATAACAATGGATAGCAAAATAAAACTTTTCGAATTAAAAACAAAATGAAAGTAAAAAAATCAATCATTTCTCTTGATAAAGTATGAGCATGTGGAACGTTCAGAAAAAGTCAGGAATAGTACATCTTATGCTTCTATACTTATGCCTTTTTCTATATGTCTTACAAACAGATTATGAAATGAAATTGATTTTGAATACTGTCTATTTATTCCGACTAGGGTGATGAAGAGAAGTCGCAGGGTTTAACTCCTATACCAATGATGGACAGAGACAAACAAAGTGAATTACCACAATTAGAGGTATTATGATTTAATAATTTACCAAAGAGCATCGCATTGTACTTTATTTTTTCAGCATACGTTTATAATATATGATGATATAAAATTATAATCAAAATAATGTTTACAATTGTCTTCTTTATTGAATGATGTTTTCTCTATCTATGTATTTGAAACAATTTTGCTTTTTACTCCTAGGTTGGATTCATATTGGGTATCTGTTTACCATGTTACGAACTATTAGCTCAAATAGTCCCCAAGACTAAACCTATGTTGGACGGCACAAAGTAAGTGATTTTTTTCAGAACTGTATTATTCACTGTCGGAATAATTTTCCGCGTATTATTTCACTTTCTTGCTTACCTATGTCCGGGTTCAAACTTGGCTTAGGTCTAGATAATACCCTGCATTTCCGGTTTCTCCCTGTCAGAAAGAAGCAGTATTGGAAAATTGACCGAGACCCAGTCTTCTGCAGGCTGTGTACATACAGATCACCTGAAAATGGATTGAATAATACCCCACTGCTTGATTTTACCCGTCTTTATCTTCATTTTTACTATGTTTTATTTTCAGTGAAAATTTGAAAAAGTGGCAAGACATGGCAAAAAAAAATAAAGACGAAAGTGATGCACGAATTGAAGAGGAAGGTTCCAAGACTGAAGCTATTAGAGAGTCAATAAAGACGTGATGTGAAATCCTTTTTTTTGTTATAAAAAATGTGAATCAAAATTTTGATGCCTGAAATCAAAAGCAATTGACGGTGTTCTATGAACATTCTGTCTAACGGGTACTGTTTTTCATTACTCAATATGATTGTTAGGTGGTTAGGAAGGGGGGAGGATGCCAGATCAGCATGGCGAAGTATAATTGTATTATCACGTGATTCGTGTTTATCTTTAAAAACCTGACTACCAAGTTCATGTTCTCGTTGAACCCAAAATTGTATTAATAAAATTATAAAATAGTCCAAATGGGGCTGGCATTCCCACAAATCATTTTTCTGGTACTTTGAATAGATGGTAGATTGAAGTTAAAGTCAGAAAAGTGTTCGTTTACAGAATATTCCATATTTCAAATGGTGAAAGTGCTCAAAGTTATTTATTGAATATATGTGTTTGTTTTAAACTATGAAATATTCAGCTGTGATAAAATGTTGTATATTAAATGTATTGTCAAATGTTACAAGACGCCGTCTACTATATTATTTAACACCATTGTTGTTATGTATTAATAAACTTTACAAAATCATGTTAGTATGCAACTCATAGATGAGAAATCCCCTTTTCTGTAAGTCGAAAACTTTGCAATTACACCTCATGTCTTAATATTAAAAGGATAGCACCAAATCAGCTGGCTTTATAGGGTTGTATAACTGAAAAGAGTGTGAAGGTAATAAGTACGACTCCGTAAAGTACTCATACATCCTCATATTATAAAACATAACTGAAAGAAAATTCCACAATTATAGCTTCAAGCATTAAGGGTTTATAGGAGAATTACAAATATGTGTCATGACCCTTTAAAGTCTTAAGATACACTTTTTCATGCAATGCTTCGTACACTTATGAAATAATGTTTTTCAAGTTCAGAGCATAGTAAAGTTGCGGGCACACGAGAGGTCTTGGTCAGAGACTTTTGTCGCCGATTAGAGTCTTGTCTTGAATTTCAGCGACTGGCACGGGCACACGAGGAAACAAAAATCTCCAATCGGTCGTTTTCCACCTTGTCGATAATCACGTGCGAAGCATGGAATTGAAAGGAAATTAATCTGATTGGATGATGACGGTCTTGCAGACGATAAAACTATCGGAGACAATTTTCGAACTTGTTTGATATTATAATTTCTGTCGAGGATGCATTTTTGGATGCATATTATCATGTTCTCCGTCAACAACAAGATTAAGGGTTGTGATTAATTCTTTGCTACTTGGGCAATGGAAAGAAAACTGATGAAAACTGTAGCTTCTATAGTGCTCACGAACACATATTGACGCGTTTTTACAATGTCAAGTGCAATGACTCAAAAAATGTTCATCGAAAATGCGTCAAGTTAAAACTTGTCCGAGATCTTATCAATTCCAATGATCACACCAACTTTCATCAGAATCGGTTGAAAACTAGCTTCTATTGCGCTCACATTTTCAACAAATTTCGACGCGTTTTAACAAAGTCAAGGGCAATATCTCAAAAACCGTTCATTGAAAATATGTCAAATTCGAACTTGACCGAGATCTTATCAATCTAAAGCATCACACCAAGTTTTATCAAAATCAGATGAAAACTGTAGTCTTTATAGTGGTCACAAGAAATGTTGACGGACGGACCGACGGACAGGGGCGACGACAATCATTTACGACCACATATTCATGTGGGCGTATAAAAAGGGAAATTTTTCTAGTTAAAGGTCTATTTGAAGGAATTAAATATATATTAAAGGTCCAAAATATGTCCCTTTTAATGAGATTACACTAAGTGCCATATATTATCCATTAGAATTCACATCTTTCCAAATTAGTTGCCCACACGGTTGGGATTACAAGATTATCCGTAAAAGTTGATAAGGTTAAAAAACAAATCCGTAAGTGTTGACCTCCTGGTGGGGAAAACAAGAACAATCCGTAAATATGGCAAAATTTGTGAACTGGGTAATTTAAATGCTAATGAGACCAACAAATGTTTTTTATCTGTTAGAAACCAAATCTACGTCACTTGATATCATAGAAACAATGGAACTATTTTAAACAGATTTTTTATTGAAAAAAAATACACGATCCTTGCAACTAAAAATAGGGCATTTAAAAAATGAAATGGACAAACAAGATACGCACAATTACCCAAGTAAATCTCCAATACATGTATATCAATGGCAGTAACTCCGCAATTCAGAGTTGAAGCTGTAACGCGAGTAGTGTGGTGATGATGTGATATGTTCAAATGACCAATCCTCCGCAAATTATTTGTATTGAAGAAAATTGTGGACCATTATCTAGATTAACAGATGCCCGGAATGCCATGTCTGCTATAGATCTTTTTCAGTAGGTTGTTTGTTGTAAATGAAGTAGCAGTTTTAGGCAAAAGATAAATTTCAACATCTCTGGAGTAATAGTCTACTGTTAACAGATCTTGCCGATCCTTGTATTGAAAAAATCTGGTCCAAGATCTGCTGAGAAATTCAGTTCCTTTCATTGGTTCTACTTGATCTCGTCGATATTTGGAACAGGTTGAACTAGCTCGAACTAGCTTTTCAACGTCTCCGGTAATACTGGGTCACCATACTGAAGACGAAGCATTACTACAAGTTTTTGTGATTCCCTGATGACTATCATGAAGATAGAGTAAAATATCTGGTCGAGTCTTGTCTGGAATAACAAGTTGTGAGTAATTCGTTTTGGACTGATAAATTACCACGTTCTTTCCAATTAGGTCTTAAGCTTTTATGTAATTTGTTGATTTCTGGCCAACCAAATTGTGTATGATGGAAGATAAGATTAAGGTAGTCATCTTTCCGCATTTCATTCTATCAGATGCTGGTAAGTTGACAATTACAGCATTGACATAACAGTTCTCGTTCGAAATCATCAGGAACTGAAGATAAGGTTTCTGCATACAAGATTTTACCTGGAACATGATTGATGGAAAAATCAAATCGCATTAGTCGCATTCTGAAACGTTGTAGGCGAATTGGTAGTTCATCTATGAGTTTGGTTGAGAATAAAGGTACTAAGTTTTTGTGATCCATTTCTACATGAAAACGTAGACCAATGAGAAAATTGGACCAATGTTCAAGAGCCCATGTCATTGCTAAAGATTCTTTTTAATTTGAGCGCAACTCTTCTCTGTTGAAGTCATAGATCTGCTTGCATAGGCGACTGGTTTAAGATTTTGATCCATGCGCTTTTGGAAATATTCAGGAGTCTATTGCGACAGAATCTTCCAAATGGAGTGGTGAAGGAAGTGAGGTAAGTACTTTTTTGTGTAAAGAAATTTGTTGCAAACCAGAATTGGCATCCAATTTTGAAAATACAGATCCGTTTGCAATTTGTCCGAGTGTGTCTTCCACTTTCGGCATAGGATATACTTCACGTATAATGCCTGGTTCAGTCGAGTGAAATCAATACATAGTCTGACATTACCATTTGGTTTGACGACAGTAACCAAACCAGAACACCAATTAGAAGGCTGGTCATCAGCGGATTCAATGACGTCCTGACTTAGCAATCTCTGTAGCTCTGCCTTTACCTTGTCAAGTAAGGGAAGTGCAACTCTTCTTGGAATGTGGAGAAAAAAAGGTTACGCATTTTCATTTTAGATGATCTTGTATTCACCTGGGATGTTTCCAAGACTTTTAAAAAGTTGAGGATATTCCTTGATAACCTGTTCTTTTAGTACTGGAACTGTTTTGTCTCTACAGAGTGAACACTAAAAGCCCTTGGGATATCATGGATGAGTCCCAGACTGTTTATTGCAGGAATCCCCAATAGTAATTTATTACAGTTGGTAATGTAAACCTTCTCTAGAATTTGTAATTTACCATTAGCAAGTGTCATTAATTTGTCAAAATTCGACAAGAATCATGCCTTCTATAGTTTTTATTAGCTACAAATTGAACGAGTTTTCAAGATCAAGGGCAATAACTAATACTAAATATTTTTCAATTTTCTGATTTTCGATAGGGTTTATCCTTGAGTGATTACAAACACTCACACCAAGTTTCGTCAAAATCCATCAAGAATTGTGCCTTCTAGAGTGTTTACAAGTTAAAATTGAACGCGTTTTGAAGGAACAAGGGCAATAACTCATACTAAATATTTTTCAATTTTTCTGATTTTCGATAGGGTTTATCCTTAGGCGATAACGAACACTCATACCAAGTTTCATCAAAATCCGTCATGAATTGCACCTTCTAGAGTGTTTACGAGCGTTTCAAGAACAAGGTCAATAACTCATAGAAAATATTTTTTGATTCGTCTGATTTTCAATAGGGTTCATCCTTGGGTGATAACAAACAACCATACCAAGTTTCTTCAAAATCAGTCAAGAATTGTGCCTTGTAGAGTGTTTACGAGCAATTGTGGACGGACGGACGTATAAAAATCGACTTCTAGGGCTATCGTTGACATACTTCAAAAGCTAGTATATTTTGCGTTTTATTAAACTGCTGATAGATGTTAGCCATTCAGTACCGTCTCTGTTCTTTGCTGATAATACCAACCTGGTAACAAACAGAGATGATCCACAATATGATCGTATACATAAAGTTAGACCATTAGATTAGAAGCTCTTGTCTGAAGATCGAACCCACACAGAGACAGAGCATCAATGAGCAAATGATACCTTTCAAAGGAAAGTTTGTTCTACGTCAATATTTACCAAAGAAACCTAAAAAATGGGGGTTTAAGGTGTTTTCCAGAAATAGTGAAGATGTGTTCACGCATGATTTTATTTTGTATGATGGTAAAACCTCAACTGTTGCCGATTCCTGTGGATATCAACCCGGAGATATAGTTTTGAAGTTGTGTGAGACCTTGCCTTCCAATAAAAACCACATAGTTTATTTCGACAATTACTTCAATTTTTTAGAGTTACAATTAGCGTTGAAGTCCAATGGTATTTGGCCTATTGGTACAATTCGTGCCAACAGACTTCGTGGTTGCAGTCTAAAATCTGAAAAAGATTTGAAAAAATTGGGTCGTGGTTCGAATGATTACATGACAGATGCAAATTCTGGTATCTCTGTTTTTCGGTGGTTCGATAATATAACTGTAAATCTATCGTCAACACATACATCGGTAGATCCTGTTGTCAAGGTAAAGCGGTATGATAAATCCAAGAAACAAAGAATTGAAGTTGACTGTCCGAGTATAGTTCAAGAATATAATCGATATATGGGAGGAGTCGACCTGTTTGATATGTTGATGAGTATTTATAGAATTGATCATAAAAGCAGAAAGTGGTATAAAAGAATCTTCTTTTGGACCATTAATCTGGGTATTGTAAATGGTTGGCTACTCTACAGGAGATACTGTACTAACAACAATGTCTCTAAAAAGTCACACATGGATCTTCTGCAGTTTGCTGCCAATATCAGCACTTCGCTAATCCTTGGAAACAAATACACTCAATGTAAACGGGGTCGACCTCAAAATCCTGTTGCTGAAGAAGAACCAGAAGGTACCCCAGCAAAAATCAGACAAGGTCTTCAACCAATGATATCCAGAGATATTCGCATTGATAATGTTGGTCATTTACCTGAAATGGTGGAAGTAGGTTCAAGACGTACATGCAAAATTTGCTAGGCATTAACCCAAACAAGATATATCAAATGCCATGCATCATTATGTATCCGGCCAGAACGTAAATGTTTTGCAGGTTTTCATACAATCTAAACCAATTCAAAACGTATAAGTGACTATCTATAATGTAATTGAATAAATGATCCATTTTTTAGTTGCATCATATTAGTTTTCATATTCCTTAAAAATGTGCAAAAATCAGGCCAAATCTAGTAAAGAACTTTAGACAGCTTGTTATGTTCTATGATAAGATTCTGTTATAAACAAATTTTATTAAAGTTAAATAAAATAAATAAAAACTAATTACAAAATGTTTTCAAACATAGCCATATATCAAACAAAAGGTACCACTAGAGAAGCAGAACATGACGACCCTTCAGGTATAGATGGACAATAACTTGCCCCATATATATCCAGGTGCACACAGCTAAATAATGCTATTTTGAAAAGGAATTTTCAGTGTTTGAGTATTTCTTAAATGCTTAAAATTTTTATGGTTATCAACCCTTAACATCCATAGTATCATATATGAAACATCCCCCAAAAAGGGAATGCCCAACTGTAATTTTTAAACCAACAATAAATATAGTATTTTATGTTTAAAATACAGTCAAAATTTGTTTTAAATAATTTTTTCATCCAGTGAGCAAAAAATGTTAATGAAAGGGAATAATTCTTTTTTTATTCCTTTACTAAATTACTTCATTGACTGAATTCAGATCCCAAGAAACATATCCTGTCAAACCTATACCTTCATTATTAGATGAATATAAATCTTGTGATAATCAATAAGAAGGAAAATGACTAGCAGTCAGCTATTGATTGAAGTACTGTTCAGAAAGAGTTCAGGTATAAGAGCAATACTCCGTCTGATGAAATGTGTTAACACCGTTTAACTTCAGTGCTCAACAGTAATAACAGTTATTTAACCATTTATAAATAATTTATAGTAGCTATATACCAATACAATATGTTATTGAATTATTAATGACTACAAGTTGATGGAATTTTACTGTTATAAAGGGTTTTACAGTTATTACATAAATGAACAAAAGTGAATACAGCACTGAATACAATTTTTTTTTATTGGATATTTTTTTTAATTCAGTAAAAAACGGTCATAAGAATAGTGTAAAAGTGGTCAAAGTTTGGGATACTTCCATTGGTTTCTTCGACATCAGTATTGAAATGGCTTCTGTGAATTCAACACACTTTAGTGTTGCAGATTATTTAGAACATAAGGCAGCAGAATGGATATGGGTCGTTATTTCGCCTATTTTAATTAATATTGGTACTATTGGAAACTTGATGTCTATTTTGGTTTTAACCAGATCTAACATGAGGAAGTCGAGGGTATCTATATATTTAACAGTACTGTCCTCGTGTGATATTTTAGTGTTATATACAGGCCTTCTAAGACAAGTTATAATGTACCATACCAACTCTGATGTTCGCATATTAAGTGACTTTTCATGTAAAATTAATACCGTGGACTTTTCAGTTTGGATATTGGTAGCTGTTACTGTTGAACGCATTGTATCAGTCTGGTTTCCGCACCACGTTCGTCACACCTGTACTGTTAAATCATCTACTGTTACATTGGTAATTATTTCTATGGTACTTTTAGCAATCAATTCTCACTTTCTGTTTGGTCTTGGAGAAGTAACAACCACCAACGCAAACAACGAAACAATCACGAGTTCGTGTACATATCTATGGAACAACTACAAACAGTTTTCAAATGATATTTGGCCGTGGATAGATCTCTGTTTCTTTTGTCTCTTTCCATTTACAATTCTTTTAATTGGTAACCTGTCTATAATAGTGAAAGTTTATGCCATTATAAAGGAAAAAGATAGACATGTAATTCCAAGAATGCTCAACCCCCAAGCTCGGGCATATAATGAAAAGGCGTCTTCAATGACTGTAATGTTACTGTGTCTTAATATTGTGTTTTTGTTGTGTACGTCACCCATAAGTGTGTACTTAATTAGGGAACCTTACTGGATAACAGAAAATAGCGATGCTCATGAACTTGCCAAGCATGACCTTATTTGGGCAATAGTAAATATGCTAATGTATACAAATAATTCTATTAACCTAATATTGTATTGCGTAAGTGGTTCAAAATTCAGAGAAGAGCTTAATAACATTTTTAAAAAAACAAACAGTATCCAACCCCAACTATCACTGACGAGACATAATGAAATTAACAAGTTCCGGGCCACCTAATTGTGCCTAAAGTGGATAGAAATTCGGATAATGTTTTATCAACCGTGTATACGACACCAAACTCGGTTGTCTGATAAGTGTATAACATCCACAACTTAAACAAAACTGTTAACACGCTAGAATGGTATTTGCAATATTTCTATCGACACATGTGTTTAAAAGGGAGGTCTACTAAATGTAAAGATGTTAAAAATTCTTTTCACCCAGTGTAAAACAATTTATGGGCTTTTGTTTATAAGTGTATTCAAATTTAGTTAAACATTAATTTCAGTAGAAAAATCCTTGATTTCTATGATAATATAAACATTTCAAAGTTTACTTTGTACCCTGGATCATTCTGCCACATTAACTTATTATTTCTTAGATCATACAATTTGACAGGAAGGACAGTTTCATCTCATATTTAATAATGTACACGTCGTTCCCTATTGATTATTTTGTATATAGTTCTAAAAAATTCTGAAGAAATATGGTAGACAACCAAAACACCATGACAGAAACTTGGGAACAATCTAGCAGAAGAGCAACTTTTATTGTCAGAGTTTTGTTGTTGTTGTTTTTTTTTTTATTTTGCTGATTAAATATGTACATGTATTTAGTAGTGTGATTATACTGTTTTAATGAAATGAATGGAGTTTTACGTCCTATATAGGCCTACTGATTGAAACTTGATGACAAGAGACGAATGGCCATTTTTAGGCGATGCATGCATGAGTGTCATTATGAAGTTTTTTTGTCTTCTTTTGGACCATACTGAACCGAAAACGCCCAAAATGACGGATTAGCACCATTTATGATTGTTGCTAATATCAAAATGACCGCTACCGAATTCTGTTGAAAGCAATATCATACAAAGATCGGCAAAACTAAACCCGAAATCCAAAACAACATTTTGACGAAACGAGGAAGTATATCAATCAGAAGTGAGTAAGTATTTCATAATGAAAAGTGATAAGATGTCCAGGAACGCACAAACAAAAGAAATGACTTAAGCGACGAATTTTCAAAGTTCAAGGGACGTAACTGTTGAAAATGCATTTATCCAATTTCAAAAGTCCAGTGAACTGAATAATATGAACGTTTAACGTTCCACTGTCCATGCGAAAGATCTCGGTTTTGATTCGGAGGCTGTTCAGGAACAGCCCAACCCGTTCCTTTGGACGCTGTATATAAGTCTATATACGTTTCGTGCAAGGGAAAAATATTATCCGCTATTTAACTTGATCACTGAGACTTCTTATGGAAATCTTTTAAATGAAGATTTTATACGTAGCTCTTTATGGTACCAAATCGACTAGAGAAATGAAAGATGGTGATACTTGAGTACTGTAATTCAACGCATTGCTTTGAGGTACAATGAAAACCTCTCAAAGTTCCCACTCTGTCTTCTGCTCACCCACCAACATCTGGTATTCCCGTTATGTTCCTCATCACTTCTTATCTCCTTCTAACACCTCCTGTGAACTTTGCCCTTCCACTTTTAGCTCGGGATAATCTGTAGTTGAATACTCGCCTTGCTCCAGGTTGGTTTCGGAATGGGTACGGTTTCATTATATTTTTGCGCAAGGGAAAGGCATCATCGGCAAGCACCACATAAAGAACTTCCTTTTTGCGGCCCTTAAGAACCTGTGCAGGAGGCACACTAAGTTTATCTCCCTCCCTCCCTCCCTGCAGCTGACAAAGCGCAATAAGCAAATACTTCTCCATCAGCGATTCTACCATTACACCCGACGTCAATGAACGTGACCTTGTAATTAGCATCACACATCGCCATCAAAATGATACTATGAAATCCTTTGTAATTGTTGAAGTAGCTCCCAGAAGATGGCGGAGCTTGCATTGCAGCATGTTTTCAGTGAGGGCACTAATGCAATTAGGAAAATTCCACTTTACGTCAAATTCTCTGGCAATACGATGTGATGCAGATGTGATTCCGTTGGACACTGAAATAGAATGACAGGTATTTAATTTCATTTCAGGATATAGAGCAACATGGACTCAAAGATGACCTACAAGATTCGCCTCTAAATACGATACCCATGACGAAGAACAAGAGGTAACAGTGACTACTTTCTCAAACCATTCACAAGATACAACAATACAACAGAAATCAAGTCCTTGGAAGCGCAAGAAAAATGAGAGTCCGGTTGATAAAACCATGGAGAAGGCTTGTGCACTGTTGTCAAAAGATGATGATGAATACGATACGTTTGGTGCTTATGTGGCCGCTGAATTACGGTTACTGTCCAAGCAAAAAACCGTTAAAACGGAATATCCAAAGAGCTGTCCTTGAAATATCAGAATAAGACGAGAAAGATCCATCTTACCCGAGCAGTACTAAGTCAAGCTATCGCAGTGCAACAGTCACTGATGGAAGCAGAAGCGGACAACTTCAAAATCTAGATCATTCGTTTTCATCTCAGATGTATCACCAGAACTGGTAACTTATCCATTTTGAGTTTTGGAGATTAATAATTCTTCTGTTTTGGGAAACATTATGAACTACAAGATGTAAACTACCAAATTCACCTTCAGATATTCTTCTTTCAGAACTTGAAATATGGCTTGGCATGTCTCTGTAACGATGCGTGATATTGTTACTTCCGGAATGCGGAACAGGTACATTAGGCTGGTGAAAGTATCGCCTGTTTTATTACGATTTCAATTATGTGAAAGTATGAATAGATAGGGAGATGTTTCATAATGTTCGAAGTAAAATCGTCTTGTAATATATTTTCTTTGAGGGATTGTTGCACGTATGTATATATTAAACAGCAAATAGAGCCTCATTGCAGTTTTAACCTAACGGAGGTCGGCGAATCTCGAACGAATTCACGATTGAAGCTGAAATTAGTCTCTATCGGCTGTTACATTATATAATATTATTATTATAATAATAATATAGCAATCCCTTTAAATGCTTTTTGAGGTCTATAAATAAAGACCAGCAAAATATTAATGTATTTTAAATTACCTGTTGCTTGGAATCCTAGAGTGACGGCTGGGCGCTCTTTCACTGGAACGGATTGTTTCATTTGTGTATCCTGTATGCCAATTCTTGGTCCGACCAGCAATGTCAACTCTTCAAATCCATTGCTGACATTCGAATGAAATTTCGGAATTGGCTTTGGTCTTCCAAAGAATTAGATTAGAATTATAGCCGCAGCAATTCGTTTTTTCTTGGACAACAATATTTTCCGATGGGAAGTTGTAAATCAAACTGGCAAGATGTCGTGCAACTCGCAACCCCTTCCCACGAGCAGCTCGCGAATGTAATTTGTCTCTCTTGACACTTGGAAATTTCTCTCGTTAGTTGATAGCACAAACTCTCTGAAAGTTGAAAAAACTCTCAAGTGGACGCCCGGCTTAATTATCGTTATCCACCCCCTCTTCCTTCTTCAGAATTTTGATCTCTCTTGAGAACTTTTTAAGTTCCAGTCATATTCAAAGACAACGTGCTTTTTTCCTTGCAAAATAAAAAATATAGTACGAATGAATTTTTTTTTTATATGAATGAGTTATATAGCAGATTATTTTCGTTGTTCAACAAAGGCACTTCCTAAATTACTCAAGAGATTTATGTTTTCAAGTAAAAGGCAATAACTGTGCTGGAACAATATTCTTTATTTTAATACTTTGACAATCTTATATGTTTCTTCGTCATTGGGGCTTAGTATCTACTCAAAATTATTGGGTACGTTTTTGCAGCTTGCATTCGTAACGGCGAATGTGCCTCGTTTCCCCCTGTTTCCGCTTCCTATGCAAATCAAAACAACAGGCTAGACACTACTTTGGACTCATGGACTTAGGATTTCCCGTGGCAAATCACGATGTATGTATAATTACTTTTATAATATGTAAAAATAACCATTTAGAACTTTATTTATGTTTCCCACTCCGTGAACTTGTAAAATTGTTGATTATGCATTTGTTTACACGCGCGTAAGCCATTGTGGACACTTCGCCCTCATGTCACTTCGCCATATGTCATATCGCCCTTCAGTCATTTCGCATCATATGCTAATGTTACATAGGCCATACTAAGTACGTATTTTAGATTGTGTCTTATTATTGTTACCCTTTTCTTTGTAGCTTTTTACCACTTCAATCAATGCACATTCAGATGTGTAACTGTACAACACCATTAAAGTTTGAAATTCAACTACTAGGTTTTCTCATTCTTACCGTGGCCCGTTGTAGCAGTCGGTTAAACTTAGTGTCGATCGGGACATTACAGTAAAAAGATCACAACCTGCCAGCAGATTTCCTACAAGGACAACGTTTGTTCGACTGCCCCAGTGAACACAACACGTCACATCATGGAGAACATTGGAGTGACTGATATGGCAACAGAATCGGAAGATACGGCAAGGGTACGCACCCTGACCGAGAAAGGTGAGGGAGTCTACATCTCACAGCGTGACAAGTACTGTCAAGACATCGAGTACATGTGGACTCTCCTTGACACATTACTTCAAGAGACAGACGTCTCACCAGACAACGTGCATGCTGGAGTGAAGTTGGAACAACAAATCACGCACGCCCACACACGATATCAGAGACTGGTAGATGATTATACGTCCTTCTTAAAATCAACAAGAACACAGCAAAGTGCCAGAGACTTAGAGGCCGGTAACAGGATGTGTGAAAGTCGACAGAAATTAATCGATCTAGCCCTTCTACAACTGAGACAGACGACACAGCCATCCACTCAGGAAGGTGCAAATTACGTCCGTGACCAGGACAGTATAGCTTCGTCTCGCAGTGGAGCGTCGACCACATCAAGCATCGCTAGAAGGAAACGAGCTAAAGCAGAGGCAGCCAAGGCAGCACTAGTGTTTTCTCAACAACAAGCTGAGATGAACCACCAAAAGACCTTGATTCGACAGGAAACAATCCGCAAGAAAGCTCAGTTTGAAGTAGACGCAGCTGAGGAGTCTACACAGCTTACAAGACTCGACAACGAGATGACAATTTTGGCAAGTAAGAAAGAAATTGCTATGCTGGAAGCTGAGGCCAGAATCCTAGAAGAAGAGGAGGGTCAAATTCGAGACTTCGACTACCGACCTCCTACCAGCCGCAACAACGGGTGAAGGGATATGTCGAACGGCACAGTAATTTCCCACCTATCACTGCGAAACCTAAAATTGAAAATAAAGTTGATCCATCTCCCGACGCGTATATCCCACAAACTAATAAAACAGTTACAATAGTCCCACAGCCAACGTTGAATGTTTTTGCACCAGAGTTCATACAGCCCTCGGCTACGTCTACCCCCTCTCTATCTAGAGACCGAAACACCGCAAATCATACAAAACTACAAAACACGTTGGGTCCAACTTAAATCTAGATGCTCCATCCCAATTGTTACAACAGTCCGCCAGTCGATCAACTCCCATGGAAACCCCTGGAACCAACAGTAGATTAGAAGAGACCCTATCTACATCTACAATAACTAAGTTGTGAGAAAAGACTTACTGCTATCTCGCCTTACTACGTTTAATGATAGTGCCGAATCATACCATGTATGGAAAGCCACCTTCGTGAGTGTAGCTGACGAACTTGAACTGTCAGACCCAGAACGGCTAGACTTATTAGTAAAATGGCTTGGGCCAGAATCGTCTAAACAAGCACTCAGTATACGTGCTTCAAACGCAAACAATCCTTCTAGAGGCTTGCAGAGGTTCTGGCAAACAACGCCAAACATAAAAGACAGGTCTGATACTTGCATTCTACATAAAACAAAACATCCATTGAACGAGTGACGTGGTTTTCGTTCAAAGTCCCTCGAGGAGAGAAAGAAACTGTTAAAGGAACATAATGTTTGCTTTAAGTGCTGTGCATCAAATACCCATATTAGTAAAAACTGTGAGATTGTTATTTCCTGTAAAGAGTGTGGAAGTGATAGACACTGCACAGCTCTTCATCTCGAAAGAAGTAAAAACTCACCCCCTAAACCCGCGCAACAGTATGGCGGGGAGTCAGAAGGCACAGCCAGCCAATCCACAGTTAACACCGTCAATGCCTCATGCACCGAAGTGTGTCGAGAATATGGTGGAAAATCGTGCGCAAAGATAGTTCCAGTATATGTTTGCCACAGGGATTGCCCTAAAATCACGCATAAAATGTACGCTATAATAGACGACCAGAGTAACCGTTCGTTGGCGTCTCCAGAGTTTTTCAGTCTCTTCAATTTGCACTCTCTACCAGAGTCTTATACTCTCTCCACCTGTGCAGGTCGCATGGACACTTCTGGTCGTCGAGCAAAAGACTTCATCGTGTCAACTTTCATTGGATCTAAACATCATCTTGAGCTTCCTGTGTTAATAGAATGTGACAATATTCCGAACAATAGGGAAGAAATTCCAACACCGGAAGTCGCTAGAAACTTCGCTCACATGAAACAAATAATAAAATATTTGTCACCACTGGACAACAATTGCAACATAATGCTGTTAATTGGTAGAGATCTCCCAGAAGCTCATCACATTCTGGATCAGAGGACGGGACCCCCGAAAGCTCCGTACGCGCAACAGCTAAGATTAGGCTGGGTCGTAGTAGGAGAAACGTGCCTTGACAAGCAACATGCTCCAAAGGAGATCAACGTCAAATAGACTTTCATACTTCCATCAGGACAACCATCACTTCTTCTACCGTGTGAAAACAAATTTCTAGTTCGAGAGCGATCAACCGACCCTGCCACGCTATATGGGGCACAAAGAAGTCAATTTGGTCCCACGGTTTTCGAAAGAACGAAGGATGATGATAAACCCGGAATGTGACAAGAAGATCAAATGTTCATGGAACAAATGGACAACGAGTTCAAGCTAGACTCAACAGGACACTGGACAGCTCCATTACCTTTCAAAACACACAGGAAGTCATTGCCTAACAACGAATCTCACGCATGGCACAGAGCGCAACTATTGGATACTAGTCTCAAGAGAAATCCTACTAAACGAGAACACTTTCTCGAATTCATGTCCAAAATTCTTGACAACAATCATGCTGAAGTTGCGCCCCCGCTAAATAAAAACGAGGAATGCTGGTACCTTCCACTTTTCGGTGTTTACCACCCAAAAAACCAAATCAAATACGAGGCGTGTTTGATTCCTCCGCCAAGCACCAAGGAGTGTCTTTGAACGACGTATTGCTAACAAGGCCAGACCTAGCAAACAACCTTATTGGTGTACTTCTACGCTTTAGAAGAGAAATGATTGCTGTCACTGCAGACGTACAGCACATGTTCCACTGCTTCATTGTCAGAGAGGACCACCGAAACTTCCTGCGTTTCTATTGGTATGAAGACAACGACACTAACAAGAAGCTTATTGAATACCGGATGAGGGTACACGTCTTCGGGAACAGCCCATCGCCTGCCGTTGCAACCCTTGGTATCCGCAAGGCAGCTCTAAAAGCAAAACCTGAATTTGGCAGCCACGTCGAATCATTCGTCACTAGGGATTTCTACGTCGATGATGGATTGACTTCGTGTCCTACTCCTAAAGAAGCAATCCAGCTCATGAAAGACACACAAAATGCCCTTAAGAATTACGGCAACCTGCGACTGCACAAAATCGCATCAAATAGCCCAGAAGTTATGTCTGCTTTTCCTGCTACTGATCTAGCATCCAATCTCAAAGATCTAGATCTTCTCTCAGACGAAAAACCGTTTCAACGAAGTCTTGGTCTTATCTGGGATGTCAACGCCGACCAATTCCTCTTTGAGTTGTCATCTGATCAGAAACCAGTCACCCGTAGAGGCATTTTATCAACGATCAACAGTATATTCGATCCTCTTGGGTTTCTATCTCCCGTAATTATATATGGAAAACTTCTTCTGAGAGACATTATTTCAGAAACCGTAGATTGGGACCAACCTGCAACCAACGACACAGCCTTCAAATGGGAATCATGGAAAAACTCTCTCGATCCACTTAAAGACCTAAGAATCCCTCGACCATATGTTCCCCAACTGAGCAAATGTACTTCCAAGGAGCTACACGTATTCTCAGACGCATCTGAAAAGGCTATAGCTGCAGTCGTGTTTCTACGCACAAAAGATAATCAAGCCAATGTTCACGTCGGATTCGCCCTTGGAAAAGCCAGGGTCGCCCCACAATCCGGTACCACTATGCCGAGGAAGGAGCTTTGTGCAGCCGTTTTAGCCATTGAACTAGCACAATTCGCCACAGAACAACTGGACATTCAAATAGACAATGTCAAATTCTACACCGACAGCAAGGTAGTTCTCGGGTACATAAATAATTCTACTAGGAGATTCTTTATCTACGTGTCAAATAGAGTCGAGAGGATTCTCAAGTTCTCCGATGCTTCACAGTGGAATTACGTTCCAACGGATAAAAATCCATCAGACTCTGCGACTAGGTCAATCCACGCAGTAGATCTTCAAACCAGCGATTGGTTAAACGGACCTGGACAATTATTTATACCTACCTCACAGGATACGAATACCTATGATCTTGTGATGCCTGATGAAGACTCTGAGGTCCGCGTAGCAACAACTATGATGGACTCTCTCAAAGGAACTCAAACTCCACCCGGACTTGGATCCGCTAGATTCGAACGCTTTTCGGCCTGGACAAGCCTGACTGCTGGTATTAACCTTCTTCGCCAAGTAGCTCGTCGACACAGAGATCAAGAACTCGACATCTCGACTTACAGCCAAGCATCCGAAGATTTGATTCTCAGAACAGTCCAGGAAGAATTCTTTGAGAAAGATGTAAACGTTTCCAAGATGGATAAACAGGTTTCCAGAAACAGCCCACTTATTCGCCTGAACCCCATATGGGACACCAATCGCAATATTCTACGAGTTGGTGGTTGTTTAGGAAATTCTACCGAGAAACTGGACATAATTAAACCCATAATTGTACCTGGCAACAGCCACGTTGCAACCCTACTAGTAAGACACATTCATGAGAAGGTGAAGCACCAGGGCCGCCTTATTACCAAAGGTGCCATCAGATCGGCGGGTTATTGGGTTACTTCCGGTAAACGTTTGATATCCCGTGTCATACATGACTGTGTTACCTGCAGGAAGCTTAGGAGGGAAACGCAAACGCAAATCATGGCCGACTTACCCACAGACCGAATAGAACCAGGGCCACCTTTTACAAATGTTGGAGTCGACGTTTTTGGACCCTGGAGCGTCCTGACAAGAAAGACACGAGGTGGTTCAGCTAACTCAAAGCGCTGGGCTGTCTTGTTCACCTGCCTAGTGACCAGGGCAGTGCACATCGAGGTTATTGAAGAAATGACCTCATCATCCTTTATCAACGCCCTCCGTAGATTCACGGCTATCCGTGGTCCAGTCAAGCTTTATCGCTCAGATCAGGGAACAGGGAACTTCGTTGGTGCTGTAGACGACTTGCAATTCAACCATGGACCTATTGAGAGACACCTCAGAGAGTCAAGAACGGAATGGAAATTTAACCCTCCCCATTCGTCCCACATGGGAGGCGCTTGGGAACGCATGATCGGTGTCGCACGACGAATTCTTGACGCAATGCTCGCTGAAGCTCCTAGTAGAAAGTTCCTGACCCACGAAGTTCTAAGCACTTTCATGGCTGAGGTCTGTGCCATTATCAATTCAAGACCATTAACATCTGTTTCAACAGATCCAGAGAATCCGCTCATATTGACTCCAGCAATGCTCCTGACGCATAAGACTAACTATATCTATCGATCTGATGAATTAGGAGACACTAATCAAGCAGATTTGTACCGCTCACAGTGGAAACGAGTGCAAGCACTCTCTCAAACTTTCTGGTCCCGCTGAAAAAAGGAATACCTACCGTTATTGCAAACAAGGAGAAAATGGACAACCCATGAACGAAATTTAAGAGAGGGAGATGTCGTCCTTTTGAAAGACAACTCTGTGTGCCGGAATCGTTGGCCGTTAGGAATCGTAACAAGAGTCAATGCAGGATCTGATAATCATATTAGGAAGGCCGAAGTACGGACTATCATCGGGGAGAAATGTGAATCTAAGGTGTACAGTCGCCCTATCACAGAATTGGTGCTTCTACTAGACTGAAATAACTAAGAAACTTTCGAAATTGTTTTATTGTGGAATTACTGGATAATAGGAATTTATTTGTGTAATATTTCATAGACTATGTTATATTTTGTTTGTTAAATAGTATTCTGTATTTACCTAATTTATTCTTCCGTAACTTTGTTCAAAATTACGTTTATAGAAAATTAATAGTGATATTCTGAAGATATCAGACGGGGAGTGTGCTGGAACAATATTCTTTATTTTAATACTTTGACAATCTTATATGTTTCTTCGTCATTGGGGCTTAGTATCTACTCAAAATTATTGGGTACGTTTTTGCAACTTGCATACGTAACGGCGAATGTGCCTCGTTTTCCCCTGTTTCCGCTTCCTATGCAAATCAAAACAACAGGCTAGACACTACTTTGGACTCATGGACTTAGGATTTCCCGTGGCAAATCACGATGTATGTATAATTACTTTTACAATATGTAAAAATAACCATTTAGAACTTTATTTATGTTTCCCACTCCGTGAACTTGTAAAATTGTTGATTATGCATTTGTTTACACGCGCGTAAGCCATTGTAGACACTTCGCCCTCATGTCACTTCGCCATATGTCATATCGCCCTTTAGTCATTTCGCATCATATGCTAATGTTACATAGGCCATACTAAGTACGTATTTTAGATTGTGTCTTATTATTGTTACCCTTTTCTTTGTAGCTTTTTACCACTTCAATCAATGCACATTCAGATGTGTAACTGTACAACACCATTAAAGTTTGAAATTCAACTACTAGGTTTTCTCATTCTTACCGTGGCCCGTTGTAGCAGTCGGTTAAACCTAGACATTACAATAACTCATACAAAATATTTTTAGATTTTTTTCTGACTTTCAACTTTCACACAAAGTTCCGTCAAAATCTGTTAAGAACTTAATATTTTTAGATTTTTCTGATTTTCAATGGAGTTTATAATTGGGTGATTACAAACTCTAAAACCAAGTTTCGTCAAAACCCGTTATTATTGAATTAGTTCAGTCATATCATGTAAATATACTGTCCATTGTCGCGTTTGATCTCTGGAAAGCGTCTCGGAATGACTAGAGCTTCTCGAATTCGTCGTTGTTGCTTGTTGGGGAAGTTGTAGGCTATGTTGAAAAACATGTTCTTTCATTCTGGTGGAGAGGGGTCTGCATGTTTCGACTATGTATATGGCACCAAAGTTGCACGGTATCTCATATACAACTCCAATGGGGTCAGGTTTCTTGTTAGATCTTGGTCTGCCGTTAGCTGCCTGAAGTGATTTGATGTTGGTACCCGAGGAGAAATATGAGTCTATGGATAGTTGTTTTTTCAGAGGTGTCTTATTTTGCAGCTAGTAAGGGATGGCCTATAGAGGAGGTAGAGGAACAGCTGGTTGTTTGATGGTGGGTGGAACTTCTTTATCTGAGGTGGTTGAGGGTATTGCGGATAACCGAGTTGGTTAGCTAGGTGGGGTAGTCATTCTTGTGAACACATCTTTCAAATGGTTAATTTCGTCATTAAAGAATTCCGGGTCACAAATGGATCTGGCTCTGTGGGTACGGGTGGAGATTATTTTGGTGTGTGCAGGGTGATTGGAGCATGCAGTACTGGTCGGTTTGGGTGGGTTTTCGGTATACACGTGTCTTGAGTGTGCCAGAAGATCTGTCTATGGTGAAATCAAGGAAGGGGATGGAGATGTAATTTTTTATTTCGACGGTGAACGAGGGTGCTAATTGTTGAGGTGGTCTAAGAGTAGATGTTTGTCTTGATTGGGGTTAAGCATGACAAAAGTTGACATGAAAATTTCAGTGAGTAGAGCTGACAGTGGGGATCCGATAAAAAGGCCGTAGATCTGCTGATAAAGCTTGTCATTCCGGGCATACGGAATAGTGGGGTGGAGTTATACTTGCGTGATTACAAACACTAAAACAAAGTTTCGTCAAACATAATCGGTGACGCCAATAAATTTGAAAAGTTCAAATGACGTGACCCATGAAAACATTTAATTCAATTCAATAGTTCAAGGGAGGGAACTGATCACTAATGTTACATTATCAGAAAATGTTGCGAACATCCACGATGAAGCATAATAATGTATTTCTTATGCAAGCCATTGAGATTTTTAACTACGTTAACATCATTGAAAATCGACTTCCAGGACTATCTTTGACATACTTCAAATGTAAATATATTTTGCGTTTTATCAAACTTCTGATAGATGTAATCCATTCCGAGAGGGTGTCAACAGTACCGTCTTCGTTCTTTACCCAGGATCCTGCATATTCTTCAAAAGCATGGTTGAATGGTTGTGGTTTTTGATATTTTGGGCTTTAAAAGAAAATGTTACGTAAACCTAAATTCTGGATGATGTTCAAATTTCCAGTTGTTACATGTTTCGCTGGATGGCAGAGGAAATATGAAGTGGGACAAGAGCAAAGCAAAGGGTAATTTAATATTACCTGAGGTTGCTCAGTGCATCACCAATCATAATTCAATATTTAGGATGCAATAGATTTATTATAAGTGTAGGAAATTAGAGGAGGATCATGTGTTAGGAAGTGAGGAGGAACATGTTTAGTGACATGCTTATGGTATTTGTTGTTTGTTGTAGATGTTAAGCAGCTATAACAGGTGTGGCGCCAGGCAGGGTATGCTTACTATTCTGGACTAATGATACCACTAATATGAAATACTTGCTCACTTATGATTGATATACATCCTCATGTGAAAATTCATTAGCTCCTTCTGCTATTTCGTCAATATGTTTGGAATTTCAATTTTGTTGTGCGGTTCTGGCACTAAATTTTTTCTTCTATCGAGGAAGCCTTGTATACAGCGATGTTAATCCTTATTTGGTCGGATGTAGGCTATAGAGGAAGATGAGAAACAAGAGTGGAGACAGTAAAATGAGATCTCCATTGAGTCCGCATGGAAAATACTGTTTATCTGCAAACCGTTTTGTATCTCCAAAATATATGTGATGCTTAAGTCCCCTTGATTCTGCTTATGAAAAGAGCGGATGTTCAATATACAAACACAAAGTGTCTATTAAAGTTTCCAAGAGTTAAAAGTGGATCAGATGAGAGGAGAGCAGAAAAGTCCTCTCACTTTAACAGACATTAACATACGCACAGATTGAACCAGTGGCTAATGCTTTAACCGGAATTTGATATTCTGTCTTTGTTCCAATATATTCCTGGTTAAGTAAGATTATTCGTCACACATGTCGTAATGCCTTGAGGTTTAGAAAAAGCTCTTAAATCAATACATTGTAATGACAGGGAACAAAATAAGCGATATCGCATCGCAGTTTGCGATACTATTTTCGGAAAAATGCGATGTAATTTTCATCAGTAGAGCAGTTTTTTGCGATACATAATGTTTTCTAATAATAAAAATTATTAAATTTGGTGTCTGAATAATGAAAATCCGTTAATTTGTCGCACCTTTTAGTAAATTTCTCAAGGACTGAAAGTCAGCACAGAATCAAAGGAGGCATGATTGTTACTATGAATATGGCGTAGTCATAGATTGTGCTAAATGAGGAATATCATACTGAAGTGAATAGCAAACGACATTTAAAGTAGAGCATCATGGATATGGCCTTCCTGGTGGAAAAAATTAATGCTTCATCATTTAACTATGGAAATACAACACTACTATTTGTAACAAAATAATAACACCTTTTAAATATCCAAGAATCATTTAATTCAATGATACTATTCATGACTTTTATTAAACATTAAAAAATATTTTTAAAAAAAGTGCTATACAATTTAACTATTACGGAAGAAATTGCTCCACAAAATTTAAAAATCTTATGCAATTTCGGCCCAAAGATCACAAACTGCTATGCAAATAAAAAAAAGTAATTTGTACCTGTAACCTTTTTAAAAATATCTACTGACATTTACTATCACCCAACGACAATTTGTTAAACATAATTTTATGCAACGCTGAAGATTGTATCTTTAGATCGGACTCTCTGTAATACATAATTCCTTACAAAGAAACTGTTAAAAACTTGTACATGGTATACATAGTCCGACAACAATATATGTCCAACCTTCGTGTATTGCCTGAATTAAGATATTAATATATTATTACAGAATATTCATTCCATTTAGAATAGGGATCAAATGCATTTAATGAAAGAGAATAATTCTTTTTTTATTCTTGATTTATCATTATGTTCTCCTTTACTAAATTACTCCATTGACTGAATTCAGATCCCCAGAAACATATCCTGTCAAACCTATACCTTCATTATTAGATGAATATAAATCTTGTGATAATCAATAAGAAGGAAAATGACTAGCAGTCAGCTATTGATTGAAGTACTGTTCAGAAAGAGTTCAGGTGTAAGAGCAATACTCCGTCTGATGAAATGTGTTAACACCGTTTAACTTCAGTGCTCAACAGTAATAACAGTTATTTAACCATTTATACATAATTTATAGTAGCTATATACCAATACAATATGTTATTGAATTATTAATGACTACAAGTTGATGGAATTTTACTGTTATAAAGGGTTTTACAGTTATTACATAAATGAACGAAAGTGAATAGAGCACTAAATACATTTTTTTTAACTGGATATTTTTTAATTCAGTAAAAAACGGTCATAGGAATAGTGTAAAAGTGGTCAAAGTGTGGGATACTTCCATTGGTTTCTTCGCCATCAGTATTGAAATGGCTTCTGTGAATTCAACACACCTTAGTGTTGCAGATTATTTAGAACATAAGGCAGCAGAATGGATATGGATCGTTGTTTCGCCTATTTTAATGATTGTTGGTACTATTGGAAACTTGATGTCTATTTTGGTTTTAACCAGATCTAACATGAGGAAGTCGAGGGTATCTATATATTTAACAGTACTGTCCTCGTGTGATATTCTAGTGTTATATACAGGCCTTCTAAGACAAGTTATAATGTACCATACCAATTTTGATGTACGCACCTTAAGTGATTTATCATGTAAAATTAATACCTGGATGGTATATTTTACCCTGGACTTTTCAGTTTGGATATTGGTAGCTGTTACTGTTGAACGCATTGTATCAGTCTGGTTTCCGCACCACGTTCGTCACACCTGTACTGTTAAATCATCTACTGTTACATTGGTAATTATTGCTATGGTACTTTTAGCAATCAATTCTCACTTTCTGTTTGGTCTTGGAGAAGTAACAACCACCAACGCAAACAACGATACCATCACGAGTTCGTGTACATATCTATGGAACAACTACAAACAGTTTTCAAATGATATTTGGCCGTGGATAGATCTCTGTTTCTTTTGTCTCTTTCCATTTACAATTCTTATAATTGGTAACCTGTCTATAATAGTAAAAGTTTATGCCATTAAAAAGGAAAAAGATAGACATGTAATTCCGAGAATGCTCAACCCCCAAGCTCGGGTATATAATGAAAAGGCGTCTTCAATGACTGTAATGTTACTGTGTCTTAATATTGTGTTTTTGTTGTGTACGTCACCCATAAGTGTGTACTTAATTGGGGAACCTTACTGGATAACAGAAAATAGCGATGCTCATGAACTTGCCAAGGATGACCTAATTTGGGCAATAGTAAATATGCTAATGTATACAAATAATTCTATTAATTTCATATTGTATTGCGTAAGTGGTTCAAAATTCAGAGAAGAGCTTAATAACATTTTTAAAAAAACAAACAGTATCCAACCCCAAATATCACTGACGAGACCTAATGGGATATCGGATGGACAAACAACAAATAAACAAGTTCCGAGCCACCTAATTGTGCCTAAAGTGGATAGAAATTCGGATAATGTTTTATCAACCGTGTATACGACACCAAACTCGGTTGTCTGATAAGTGTATAACATCCACAACTTAAACAAACCTGTAAAACGCTAGAATGGTATCTGCAATATTTCTATCGACACATGTGTTTAAAAATGAGGTCTGCTAAATGTAAAGATGTTAAAGATTCTTTTCACCCAGTGTAAAACAATTTATGGGATTTTGTTTATAAGTGTATTGAAGTGTATCCTTGATTTCTATGATAATATAAATATTTCAAAGTTTACTTTGTACGTTGGATCATTCTGCCACATTAACTTATTATTTCTTAGATCATACAATTTTGAAAAGACAGACAGTTTCATCTCATATTTAATAATGTACACGTCCTCTACTGATTATTTGTATATAGTTGTAAAAAATAGTTAAGAAATACGGTAAACAACTGTTTCACCATGACAAAAACTTGGGAACAATCTTGCAGAAGAGTAACTTTTATTGTCAGAGTTTTGTTGTTGTTGTTTTTTTGTTTTACTGATTAAATATGAGTATTTAGTGATGTGATTATACTGATTGAATGAAATGAAATGAATGGAGTTTTACGTCCTACTTTTCTGCTATGCTGATTAAAAATAGATGACAAGACACGAATGGCCAATTTTAGGCGATGCATGCTTGAGTGTCATTATGAAGTTTTTTGGTTGATTCGTCTTCTTTTAGGCTATCCTGAACCGAAAGCGCCCAAAATGCCGAATTAGCACCATGTATGATTTTTATACGCTCACATGGAAATGTAGACGTATATTGACGTCCTCCCCGTACGTCCGTCGGTCCGTCCACATTTGTTGTATGCACGGTGGAGGCTACAATTTTTATCTGATCTTGATGAAACTTGGTTTGCATGTATATATTGATAAGATCTCGGTAAACTTCGAAGTTGGTAATAATCGTAAGAACGGTTTCAGAGTTATTGCCCTTGACTTAGTAAAAACACGTTTAATTTGTGTTGTATGCACGATAAAGGCTGCAATTTTTATCTGATCTTGATGAAACTTGGTATGCATGTATACACTGATCAGATCTCGGTAAAGTTCGAAATTGGTAATAATCAGATAAACGGTTTCAGAGTTATTGCCCTTGAATTAGTTAAAACGCGTTAAATTTGGCTTGTATGCACGATAAAGGCTGCAATTTTTATGCGATCTTGATAAAACTTAGTATGCATGTATATATTGATGAGATCTCTGTCTAATTCAAAATTGGTAATAATCGAATGAATATTTTCAGAGTTATTGCCCTTGACTTAGTAAAAATCTTATAAATTTGACTTGAAACAGGGTACAGTTTTTATCTGATCTCAATGAAAGTTGTATGCAAGACAATTCTCAGTCAAGTTGAAATTGATAACAATCGGGTTAACGGTTTTGGAGTTATTGCCCTTGAATTAATTCAAACTACATTTTTTATACGATCTTGACGAAACTTGGTATGAGATCTGAGTAAAGCTTGAAATTATTAAAAATCAGATGATTGGTCTCACACATTAAACCTCTACAGACTTTGTTATCATTTCTGACAGCTGGTAGAGGGCGTATGTTTCCTTGCCCGGCAAGCTATCTTTTTTTAAGTTGCAAAAAGCAAAATTCTGAATTCTATTTAAGGCAATATCTTTACTTCAAATGCACTTACAAACAAAATTTCGGTGTCTAGTGCTATATGTTTTCGAATTGTGATAAAATTAAAGGTCTTCACATTGAACGTGTGCCGTTTCAATAAATAAACAAAGAACTAATGGTCCGAACTGCAAAACAAAACCTGAAACCCAAAACAACATTTTACGAACGAGGAAGTATATGAATCAGAAGTGAGTACGTATTTGATAATGAAAAGTGATATAAGATGTCTAGAAGAGTAAGCATACTCCGTATGTCGCCACACCCGTCATAACTGCTCAACATACACAACAAATTGGAACGCGCCAACAAAAGAAGTGAGAGACGAATTTTAAAATTCAAGGGACGTAACTGTTGAAAATTTCCATAGTCCAGGGAACGGAATTTGAACAATGGCCAGTTTAACGTTCCACTGTCCACGCGGAAGATCTCGGGTTCAATTCGAAGCAGCTCAACCCGTTCCTTTGGACGCTGTATGTGACGAGGTCTGACAGTTACTACTTGATGAAGCTCTGCAGATAACACCGGAACATTACAGCCACAATACGACCTAAGAATTCAAACAATCCATCTACATTGATACATTATCAAAATTTAATGCAATACCTGTCGACTAATAAAAATCAGTACAGGAAAACAGTAATAATATTAATTTTGAAGAAGCGTGCAATATTTCTCATCCAGGTTAGCAGATGTTACCCGCGTCTGTTCATTACAGCAGTCCGGTCCAGAGTTACAATTTCAAAACATACAACATGAACTACAACATAACCACACCTCTCGGTAGAACATGAAACCCATTTTACGTATAAGTCCAAAACCGTTTTTATACGCCAACATAATTTTCATAATGATATTGACACACATACAAAAGATCAAAAGAATCAATATAGAATTGTAGTCTGTAGAGTGAGCACGAGCCAAAAAAGTGAGAGAAAAAAACGAACGCGATATCAGAGTTTTATGCGATATCTCACAAGAAAATAATCAGTTCATCACCAAATTCAATAGTGCACATCTTCATAATGATATTGACACACATACAAAAGATCAAAAGAATCAATATAGAATTGTAGTCTGTAGAGTTAGCACGAGCCAAAAAAGTGAAAAAAAAACGAACGCGATATCAGAGTTTTATGCGATATTGCTCAAGAAAATCATCGGATCATCACCAAATTCAATAGTGCACATAATGGTATTGACACACATACAAAAGGTCAAAATAATCTATAGAGAATTGTAGCCTGTAGAGTGAGCACGAGGTAAATGTGAACGGACCGACGGACAGACGGACCGACAGGGGCAACCACAATATACGCCCATACTCACGTGTGGGCGTATAAAAATAGTGCTAGACTGCGGCTTCATTATTCTTATTATTTTTACCGTACAGTACACGGAACATGCCATCTTTTGCCTTATCACATCACGTCACGTTAAAGCATATTTAGTCAGCTATTTTAAGGCTGCCTGCAGATTGAAACATATCCCATTTATGACACGTAGTACTTTTGCTCTGCTCACATCATGTATTATATGGATAAACTATTCCCTTGGTATGATACAATAACATAGTTTATTATTACTTTCTGTAGACAATATAGTAATTAACCTTTTACCAAGTCATTAGTACCTTTTAAATAGAAGTAGCTTACAGTGAAACACCAGCATCTATATTGTGCTTTCGATAACAGTTCATATTTAATATCTTTATCATTTTGCTGTTATGTGGGCTAACGAATTGTATCTTCCACCCATTGGTTATGTCTTGACATTTTTTTATATTTGTCTTATAAAGAAATATAACACTCAAAATAGAAACCTTGAGTTCTCAATATTTTATTATAAAATAAAGAGTAAGATGATTAATTTCTTACAATTTTTTTTTAAATCTTTTTAATAACAAATTGATTTTCGTACACTTTTATGTTGTTGATGAGAAATTTGAACAGAGGGATTATTTTTTTGATATAAGCCATTAATGAATTAATGAAAAGTAACTCTGTGTTCACGAGGCTCGATACAGATAATACTGTATAATACTATAATACTAATACAACAGAATAACAATGAGCTATTTTTTTAGCAGTAACTTGAAATTTTGGCTGTACAATTTGTAAAACTAATGTCGCCAAACTATCATTAACTACTGATAATGGAAGACAGGCCAGGTTCTGGAAGATTTTTTCCTGGTCAGGCCAAAAGCTATGGAATGGATTATTTTTCTGAAAACAGAAAAAATGAAAGTAGACAAGCTTTTCTCGGCCTTTCCTAAGTCCTGAACATAATAATATAAAGACACCCGTGTAACTCATGTAAAAAAATAATTGATGTCAAAGTCTTGTTACAAGCAAGCAGTCATGCCTATAATGTTGATTACTGGCGAAAGTTAGGGGGTTGCCAAGATCATAACTTCCTAGTTGCTATGGTAACTTATTATTACGCAATCGATCAAAAATGAGCTTATTTGCGTGTTAACTTAACTAATTTGAAGTCTTATTGATGCAAATAGGATTCTACGTGTTAGTACATAATTTTTGCACCGAAAATGTCATAAAAAAGTGTGTCCATGGTAACCATTTTGAATATGTATATTTTGCAATTAATCACCCAATCTTCTGTTTTGATCTATCAGCTCACCAAGAAGATCTTTTCAAAACAGGAGTGAATATAAATATTCATATTGAAAAAAAAAAACAAGGAGAAGTAACCGGTTATTGTTTATTATTGGAAGAAGCAAAACATTTAATCAAAATAGCAGATAGAAGAATGATAAGAATTAAGTAAAAAATACACCCTTAAAAATGAAACTAAAGTCAAGAAAATAATAGAAGCTATTGAAACAGCTTCACTGTAATAACTTACAATGGTATAAAGATCCGCATATCTAAAAAACTTATTGATAAATATAAATATTGTAAAGTCAGACGAAATAGAATTGACGCGAACGCAAAGGAAAGTGGAACACAGACATAATTTAGCAATTGAAGAGGAAGCACATGAAGCTGCTACTGCAAAAAAAGGTTCAGGAGTGGGAGATATAGTAGGCACAGTAAAATAATTTGGAAAACGATTTGGTCAAGAAACCAAGTAAACAGTTAAAGAGGGATTAAACAGTATCAAAGACAAAATCGACACTGGAGAAATGAAAGTCAAACATAAGGGTAATGGAATATTTTTAAAAAAAAACATACACACTGGAGAAGGATTATTTCTTTCAAAGTGTAAAGGAAGAGGAAAGAAAAATGGGAAAGAAATTCAAACATTCAGAAATATTTCCTAGTAACCCAATGCTCATGTGTATATGCGGTAGTTCAGGTTCTGGGAAAACTCATCTCACTTTTAACATGTTGACAACACCAAACCTTTAAGATTTCGATTCTCTATATATCTACACAACAACACCAGAGCAATCATATTATCAATTCCTCAAAGCTTTAGAATATTTACCAAAGTAAGATGTTTAAGACATATTTCAATATTATGAAGACAACGAAGAAGAAGGGGAAATAAAAGATATCATAGAGAACTTCATTAAAGCAAAGAATCCATCTTTCAATTTAACGGATATAAAAGTTTTTCTTACGAAAAATGTTAATGATCTAGACTTGTCTAATATTGATAGCAATCGAAAGAACTTAATAGTCTTTGACGACTGCGTAGCACAACGAACTCAAACTGTTCAACAAGAATTCTTCACGAAAGGAAGACATCACAACTGTCACTGAATGTACCGATCCGAATCTTTCTACGGAATGGATGCAATGTTCATTAGGAAAAACGCAAATTGTTTTTTATTGTTTGAATTAAACGACAAAGATTTATCTCAAATCATTCAGTCGATAAATCACGGAATGGACAGAGATACATTTAAAAAGGTTTTTAAAACACAATGGAGAAACCCAGATGATCATGGATATGTATTTGTTAATACTAGAAACCCTGCAGGTGAAAGAGTTATGATCGGCATATGTTAATTTTATTTTTTTTTAAATGGATAATTGGAATAATATTTTAAAAAGAAATAGAGAATATATCAAAGCTAAGAATAAAATAAAGACCCAAGTTGAAAATAACAAATTACAACAACTTGGATTAAGTGAAAATCTACAAACTCTATTTCAACCAATATTAAAAACTCAAGAGGATATTAAAAAGAAATTAGAATATGGACCCACACCTCGTATATAACCTACACCCCATATAGATCACCCCGAACCGATTGAATATGGTGGTATTATGATTAGGACATTAGATGATATAAATCGTCGTTATTCAAACCCTGACCAAGATTTACCAAAGAGCATTACACCAAGCGTTGATTCTCCCAAATGTACAGGCCTAGGGTGGAGCAGACACTTTATTTAGAAATTAGGATTAAGAATCTTGATATTGGATTTTCTTCTGTTCTTATTCTGATCTGAAATTAGAAAAAATAACAGAGAAGTATAGTATCTGTTATGTACTGATTGTTTTTAGTTTACTATGAACAATATTATCATTTAAGTTCTTATTTTTTGAATATGCAACTATCATTTTCTGCTTATAGACATGGGGGAATTTCTCTTGAAGGGTCTTATAGTGGGCATGAACTATCTTGCTTGCTCGATTGCTGGTTGTATTAAACGGGACAACAAAGGGTGCTATGCCTACATTATGATGAATATTTAGTCCTATAGGTCTTGCTGTATTCAATGTCTCAATCCAATGGGCTTCCCTAGATTGACGGAATTTAGTAGTTTCATCTTCGGGCAAGTCAATTTCTATACGCTCAATTGGGATTAGGGCGAGATCGTCTATTGAATGGTCGTCGAGGTTGAAATGATTAGAAACAGGCTTGTCTTTCTTTAATTTGATGTCCGACCCATGAGCGTTAAAATGCTTTTGTCACTCACGTTTGCGGTTAGTTTGATAGAAGGATGGTGGTTGTTGAGAATTTCAAAGAATTCCCCAAAACTGTTCGATAGAATAAGTCCAAACCATAAAAATGTCATCCAAAAAGCGTCCGTAAAAATGTGGGTCAAATCTCTAAAAGCTGTAGAATTGCATCATCGGGTCTGTTTGGATCTGGGTTTCTATTAAAAGCTTTACGAACTGCCGTTAAACCAGTAGTGTTATCGATATTGGTATACATAGAAGAATCGTCGATAGAAATTAAAATAGCATTAGAGGTAACTCGAAGATTATTTATTTTATTGACAAAATCGGTTGTGTCTTTAAACGTAGGCGCGATGTTGACATGCTAGAGGTAGTAAGAAATGATCAATGTATTCTGACACTTCATATGACTCACTACCACAGTCAGATATAATCGGGCGGCCTTTATGGATTTTATTCGAGATAAACCACTCCTTGGTTGGATTCTTATGGATTTTAGGCAAAGTGTGCAAATGTCTCTCGTGACAATTAGGTTTGGCAGACAGATAGTCACATTGTTTCTGTTTGAGATAACTAGTTTTGACTAAATCGGCAAGAGTGTAATTGTTAATCATGTTAGCAGTTTCTTTGAAAATTGGTTTCGGTAAAATGGCATAATGTTTAGGATTATTCAGTTGATTCTCTGCTTCTGAAACGTAATCCTCCCTATTCAGAATGACACAACATGAACCTTTGTCACTCTTTTTAATAACAATGCTATCGTCTTTCTTAAGTAAGTTTAACGCGTCACGTTCCACTCGTGTGAGATTAGGCTTTTCGTGTGTTATGGAAAGGTTCACTGTTCGGCTATTCATACTCGCAAATGTTTTCAATATTTCAGGATGGATGGCGGCCTGAGGGGGTGGTTTCGAAAAAAATATGTGCAGCTAAGATTTCATTGAAATCGTTCAAGATAATTTAAGTTAACTATCTTTGATGTGGGAATAAACTTAAGTCCACGGTCTAAGATTGAATGCTGAAGGGGTGTGAGAATTTTGCGGCTCAAGTTAACTACAGTTTGGCCTAGTGGTGGCCTCTCAGTATTTTTATCCCCAGTAATTAGTTTAAAGACTTACTCGATACTTGAAGCTGGTGTATCCAAAACAATAAATGCTGTTTGCTGTTTCTGGAGAACAATGAAGATTATCAACTGGTTCGAATTCTTCTTCGTAGGGTGGTAAGATTGTTGCGCTGTTGATACTGGACTCCATCATCATGTTGTTGGGGGTGCTGAGGTTCTGTTGTGCTTTACTCGAGATTTTATTTGAAATGGGTATACATGTGAAGAGGATCTTGGAGTTTGGGAAGGTTTTGTTGGCTGTAGCGATTAATTTCTGGGCTTGGTTAAAGGAGGTCTTTGGTAGCTGATCACGGTTGTTGAGGCCTACATGAAGAATAATGGTAGTAGGTTTGGGATCATGGTCGTATGATCCCAGGATTGACTGTATGTGATGGATTTGGGCACCGAGGTAAGAGTGTATTTCAGTGTCTGAACTGGTTTTGGCAATTCGATTCAGGTTAGATGATAATTAAGGTAGATTTTTTTTAAAGCAGGTAGCTTCCATAATGATTTGTCACTGGGTTTGGTAGCGGATTTAATGGTTGTCGACGGTGTGATTGGTACTGGTGTGGTAGTTGTTAGAATTGTAGCATTGGAAACGGACTGGATACACGTCTCGACTTGGATGGAGACTGAGGTGTGGTTTGCTGGTCCAAAAACGCACAGAAGGAAGAAAGGTTGGCGGATCCTGGATCACATGGTGAAGATTCAGATGGTATGGAAGGGGAAGACGAGTCTGAAAGTGAAAAGAGAAGAGGGGTTCTTCTCTACGAGAGCGTTTACCTATGTCTGCTGGACTAGGAGTAGGTGAACTTTGGGCTCGTTTAGGGGTTTGGTTCGGCAGCATGGTGGCTCTAGATGGTGCAGGTGTAGTGTCTATTTCAGTCGATAGAGATATGGTTACTCTGGTTTTTGTTTCGTTGATTGTTTGGTAGAATTTGGTGTTTACAGCTTGAGTAAGACGTTTCCCATAGGAGCGACGGGCCCAGGACAGGACATGAGGTCGTCGGCAGGTGATGATAAAGACTTGGTACGAATGGTGGTCAGCTTCTCTTGAAGTGTGGTTTGGTAATGGTCGACCAGGACCTGCGTTACCTTAGAGAGACATGTCCGATGGAGGGATCTAATATTCGCGTCGACAGCTGATGTTTTCATTGCTGGACGGATAAAACTATCCAACTCAGAGACTTTGCGTTTGAAGGTAAACGCTGGTTGGCCTTGCTGTTGAAGGGTAAGGAATGCCAAATGATGGAGGCACTGCAAAACTTGGAAGAACACCGTCACAAAGGGTTCTTCCTCTTTATGCGTGGGGACTGGTTGGCCTCGGTGGGCTGGTAGTCGTTTCTGTTGTTGGTCAGGTCGATGGTTACCTCTGGATTGGTAGGCTGTGTTGTAGACGATGGGGCGGCGATTGGTAGGTGATAGAGGTCGATGGAAGACAGGGCGGTTGTAGGGTACGTGATATTGGTTTGGTTGACAATTAGTGTTTTTATGTCTGGCTTCTTGCCAGTGGTTGTTATAGTTGGGGAGCATAATGAAAATAACTTGAGGTAAGAAAGGGAATGTACAGCGGATGTAACAGGAGGAAACTGTATATGCTAGCGTGAAAATGTGGGGATCCAATTATGCAAATAAACTGGGTTTTGGATATATAAAGTAAGATGAAAGATATGATGACAAATGCAAAAATATGTATTTAGGTGATAAATAATGCTAACAATGATGTGAAAAATTATAACAAGTAAAACAAAAACTTACGCAATTGACACGAACCGGTTTTCGAAATATCCTTTTTCAAGTGTCGAGGAATGATCATTTACTTTAGGATAGCTTTTGACATGTGAACCGAAGTTGACTTTTAAAGTTGTTTCACTCCATAGATGTCTCGATGTAGTTATATCCTTCTGAAAAGATTTACCATACAAGGAATTACCTAATAATGTCATGCAATTACTACCCACAATATTACCTTCTCGTTTATATTCATTTCTTAGATCTCTCAAAATTAAAATATAATCCGTATATGGTGGAGTTTTAAAATTTTCTTCATACACTATACCATCTAATATTCTAATAATTCGTCCACCAGCTTTAGCTATTTCTAGAATATCGACCGATGTTAAAACATCTAAACCTGATTTTAGTACCAGTTTCCTTATTATCTTCTTGGTTCGTAAAAGTAATTTTATCTTTAGCTGATATGGGTTGGAAGAACATGATAGTAGGATATTCAAACCAGACTTTTAAAATAGCTGTTCTAGATCTGAATTTCTGCTCATTAAAGAGCTTGACAAATTCTTTATTTTCTTCTGGAAGAAACGGTCTACCACTTTCCGCTTTAGGATATTCGCTGTCTAAATCTGACATGGCGGAAGCATACAAACCGTTGGCGTCGAACGCCATTAGTTTAGTACATTTTATTTTTTTAAGTTTTGAATTAACTTCCATTTTATCTTTATTACTTTTACTATATTCTTTAAATAAATCAATTATATTACTACTCTCAAGTTCTATGTATTCCTTTAATATATTACAAATTTCATGCATTTTGTTCGTTTCAAATGATTTTCTGTTATCTTATAAAAGGGTGTGTATGTGAGTAGTCTTTTTCTATATTTTCTTTTTCAGTGTGTTTTGGAACCAATCTAGTAGTTTCATACCATTCTTCTTCAACCGTTTCTTTATGGTAATGATACAAATAATACCAACCCTTTAAAGATAAAGAAGGAGCCGTAAGATTATTGGAAATATTCTGGAATACAACTTCCTTCATTACTTTGTTATATTTTATCAAACAAGCTCCAAGACATAACGTATCTCTTTTAGCATAAGGTTCCCATTCGTGTCTTAAAGATTCCCAATTATCTTCGGTGTATTTTTCAATATTGATATCAGTGATCTTTCTTAATTTATTGGTAGATTAGATGAATTTCCCCATGCTGCCAAACTAGATTTTTAATGTTGAAAGGAACACATGAAATTAATATTTTGCAGATAATTAGAGTTGCCAATTATTTGTTTTTGTCTTTTCCATTTTTACTGTAAACATTCATCGGTGAATGAATTAGATAAAGGTAGAGATAGAATTCCTCTAGCTTAGTAGTGACATTGTGTTAGATTTTTTGCATTTTTAAGCACAATCCAGTAAATGCAATCTTTACCCACAAGTATGTTTACTATATTCATTAATTTATTATAAGATTCTTCTGGAACACTATCTGTGGGATTTAAATCTGGAAAGTTATGTTTTATTCTGTCTAACATTTTTCTTAGTTTTTCTAAATTAATTAAAGTGCAAGAATAAGGAATTGCTTTATTCGTTTCTCTTTCGCTATAAGCTTCACAATCCCATGCGCATAAACAATCATTATGAATTGTTGGAAATACATTTAGTTTTAGAGGTGAAACTTGTGTTGTCTTGTGCATTATCATCTCTACAAGTTCTCCATACATTTTCATCGTAATTATCTTCTATTTCTTTAATGCCTAAGGCTTTTTTTTTCTTCTTATGAGACAGAAATGTGATTTATGTAAGTAAAATATCCAATCTAATTCCTCGGATACTATCTTTGGTTGAAAATGTCTATTTTGGGGAATATAAATTTGAAAATAAGTATTAAATTTCTTATTGAATTCAGTGATTCTAGCAGCTTGGTATGTAACAATTTATACCAACCTATTCATTTATCTTTTTGAATAGGGTAGTACCACTGCCCTTTTTTTGATCTTTTTATTCCGACGATTTTGCATCTACTGTAAAAAGTAGTGGCATTAAAGCCTATAAATTTCATGTTTTGTTTGTGTTCTCAATCATTTTCATCGTAATTATCTTCTATTTCTTTAATGCCTAAGGCTTTTTTTTTCTTCTTATGAGACAGAAATGTGATTTATGTAAGTAAAATATCCAATCTAATTCCTCGGATACTATCTTTGGTTGAAAATGTCTATTTTGGGGAATATAAATTTGAAAATAAGTATTAAATTTCTTATTGAATTCAGTGATTCTAGCAGCTTGGTATGTAACAATTTATACCAACCTATTCATTTATCTTTTTGAATAGGGTAGTACCACTGCCCTTTTTTTGATCTTTTTATTCCGACGATTTTGCATCTACTGTAAAAAGTAGTGGCATTAAAGCCTATAAATTTCATGTTTTGTTTGTGTTCTCAATCTTGAATTATCTTTCCAGAGATAGCCTTAATGATATTGGAAAATAGCACATTTGATATGAATGTTTCAACGTCTATAATTTCAATTATATTCATATATTTATTTTTAACTAGGAATTTTTCACTTTTATTGATGACATTTCTACATTAAATTTATCTACAATTCATTTAATTCTTATAATTCTTCAATGGTTATGTTCTTATCTTCTCTTGATCTTTCGAAAAATATGAATAATTTATTAAAATATGTATATAAAATTTCTGTTTTCTTTGTATAATGAGATTTCTGTTTTGATGTAAAACCTAATGTTATCAATCCACAAGATGAAGTTTGAACAGCAGTGAACGCGGCTAATACAGTTGGGACAATTATTGGAAGCATTAATCGATATAGTTTTGTCTGCTTTCTAGTTCCATTGTTAGGCAGTTAAATTAACTGCACTTTTGTTAATTTGAAAGTTGGAGAATTCCGCATAATAGGTTTTATCCATATTCATTATGTTATTTTTATTGATTGATAAAATATTAGCATTAGAAAAATGACTTTAAAGGTTAATAACGATATTTGTTTATTTGAATTATTAATCTTATTTAGATGAATCGAAAATTTTGGTTTTTCAATATTGATGATTATCTTACATCTATAAGTATATATACGTACCACCAAGACTTTCAATTATTGATGGAAATAACATAATTTGTTCAATTTTGTGAATATCAATTGAAGTATATAAATCATTAGCATCTTGCCTAAAAAATTCATCAACAAAATATAGTTTTACGTATTCAAAGTCTGTTGCTCGTAAAAACTCATAACTCTTTGTTTCATCTCTTTGTTGGAGTAATGGGCCTTCAATAATGTTCATTGATGGTGGAGTTTCCGTCTCCAATATCATATCAAATGCATTAAATCCAAGAAGAAGTTCTTCTTTATCTGGAATGATTAACATTCTAAACCTATCTATATATTTTCCACTCGTTTTAATTTCATATAAGTGATTAATCTTGCTGTTCTCGTCTTTAATTTCTAATTCTTTAGTTCCTACATTTTCGGTACCATTGATAAACTGAAGAACTTTACGAGCGTTAAATAATTGATTATATGAAAGTGAGACTTGTTTGAATAATATTGAATCAACTTTTACCTGCATAGGAAAAATAATTCCAATTACAATTTTTCCTTTGGAAAGTAAAGGTGATGGATAATCACTCTCAAACATTATATGGGGATAGTAAAAATCTGAAGCAGAAAATACTCTTATATTTACTGTAAATCCATATATTTTATATTCATATATTTTTGATTTATCAATATTATTAGTAGTAATAGAAGCATCTTTATGACTCAAATTTCTAAATAGAAGATTGAAATAATATGATTTATTTTCATCCTTGAGATGCTTTTCTAATGCGGCTGTATTTTTTCCTGTTTTAAAACTTCGTTATTAATAGTGTTTATCTGTTGTTGAATAACACTATCATCAATATTTTGTATTTGTTGTTGAATATAGGTTTTAATTTCACTATCATCAATGTTCTGTATTTGTTGTTGAATATAGGTTTTGATTTCGCTATCATCAATGTTCTATATTTGTTGTTTAATATTTGTTAGTTCTTTTTGTAATTCACTGTTAAGTTTAGTTTCCAGAGCATTTAATTCCTGTTGAAATATATCTTCATTTTCATCTGGAATGTTATCTATTAATTGTTGAATGTCTAATTTTTGTTTTGCAATCTTATCATTTAATTTAGATATTAATGAAATTAAATTTTGTAACTGAGTTTTGTTCACTACGTTAACCAATTGATTGTGAATAAAACTTATTAAACCTGCTACCTCTTGCTGTAGTTTAGTATCATTCATAAAATCTTTATTATTTAGTTGACATTTGAAGAATCTTTTCACATTACTTATTTTATCTTCTAAATGGGTTTTATTTACATCAATTGAATTTATTTGATCCCGTAAATATTTCTTGTGAACAGCGTCATTATCATTTTCCGGAGACTTTAAATTAGTTACTTTGAAATTGTTCATATCTAAATCACCTTGAAGAGTGAATCTGATTTGATCCACAAAGTAAGGTTTTGCTTTATTTATCCACGCTGTAGTGTTAGGTTTTTTAGTTTCTAAAGTTAAAGAACCTAATTCAAACTTGTTCGACATTTTTATTAAGTTAAATTTATTATAATTTCTTCAAACTGTTTTCCTAGACTCAACTGATATAAAACCCAAAGTGAAAGCTGTCTCATACAATAATAAAACGGTGAAATATTTAACTCATTCGCCCATCTCATAAGTTGAAAGTTTGTGGTTGTATTTATTGAGAAAGCTATTCATTTTTGGAAGTTCGTTTTGATAAAACCTACCCATGATTTGTTCTTTGTCTTGATCGATTAATTCATGTCGGAGGTGATTTGGTGTTTACTTTATCACCGATGAATATTTCGTTTGTCCAGTATCCAACGTAACCTTTTTCGAATTTACTTTTATATTTGAAAATTAGAACGCAATCTCCAACTTTAAATTTGGGTTTGATATTTAAATTATTTATTTCATTTTCAAAATTATTAAGGGTAGAAGAAAACTTTATAATAACTGGGTTTTGACTAGCTTCCATTGGAGAAACACTGATGGAAGAATGAATTTTATTATTATATTCCGATATTACAGTTTTTTAAACAGTTTTGATTTAAGCTTCCTGTTAAATCTTTCTACTACTACAGCTTTTCCCTCGTTATGAGTACTGTAAATTGCAAACCCAAGTGATTTCATATTTTTATTATAAAATTCTCTTCCTTTATCTACCCACAGTTTTTTTGGTTTTCTACGTTTCATTATCGTTTCAAAAGCATGTTTGATTGATAATCCTGTTTTGTTTTTCAAAGGAATAACCCAAGCACATCTTGTATATAAATCTATAACTGTTAAGAAATATTTATATCCTCTTTCGACTGGCATATTATTTAAATCAGACCATATTTCATCTTTTTGCAAATACTTAAACTTCTAAAAAGTTTTTAGTTTTTCTAAATTCTTTATGAATTTCATCTGCTAATCCCATACCCAATTTCATCTTTGCTTTTAACAGTTTTATGAACAGGGCCCTTTGCATTCTTTCCTTGGATTGGAATATTTTCAAGTTCGATTATCATTTGTTTGTCTGCTTCGTGTCTGTATAAAATATCATGTTTAAGTGCAGCGGCGTCAACTCTATTGCCTGGTTATTCACCCGGTTTGGGTTTATCGACCAGTGTAATTATGACCCGGAAGATGTTTTTCTCCTGGATACTTTGCCCATGGAAAACCAGGAAGAGAGCCCAATGACTTTTGAGTATCTGAACCCAAATACGTTTTTGGAGCGTGTGCGACTATCATTTTTATCCTATAACTTTAAAACCTTTTCCTTTCCTTTCTTCTAATCTCCTGTTTCGCAGTTCTCTTATTAGCTGTAATTCTTTCAATTTGTCAGGCTTTTTCACTGCGTCGCTTATACTCTTTCCCGCTTCCGCGACAGATCCTATAGCTTCAGCTTCGGATGAAATAAGTGATTTGTGGTTTGAAACAAAGTTAGATACTTTTGGAATTATTTTTGAACCTAGAGAACATATTGATGAAAAGATACCGTCGCCTGAATAATCTTCGAAATTGTGTTGTTCGAGTTTTAAAATTAAACGCATCCTATTTTTAAATGAGTTAATTTAACGAGTTATCTTTCATACAGAAGTTTCTAGATTGAAAAAAAAAAGAACTTATAAATAACATTATTAAAAATCGGATGTTAAACAAATCAAGGAAGTTATTTTGTATAAGGGAACTTTTAATATGCTTTTTTCGTTAATTATTCTAATCTAAAGTGAAGAGGAATTATATAGGATTCTGATTAAGTTTTTTTGATAGTTCAAGATGTTGGGGACAGAAGGATGTGTCTTTTTTTAAATTGTGTGTTTATTTTGAGATGATTTTACCAGAGTTTTTTGTGTTATGACCTATATATTACTATTTACTTCTTTGTGTGAATTTATTCATATACTACAACTATGGATTCAATTTGATTTCGGGGACGGGAGGGTTTGATTCTCCCAAATGTACAGGCCTAGGGTTGAGCAGACACTTTATTTAGAAATTAGGATTAAGTGTCTTGATATTGGGTTTTCATCTGTTCTTATTCTGATCTGAAATTAGAAAAAATAAGTAGTATAGAAGTATAGTATCTGTTATGTACTGATTGTTTTTAGTTTACTATGAACGATATTATCATTTAAGTTCTTATTTTTTGAATATGCAACTATCATTTTCTGCTTATAGACATGGGGGAATTTCTCTTGAAGGGTCTTATAGTGTGCTCGATTGCTGGTTGTATTAAACGGGACGACAAAGGGTGCTATGCCTACATTGTGATGAATATTTAGTCCTATAAGTCTTGCTGTATTCAATGTCTCAATCCAATGGGCTTCCCCAGATTGTCGGAATTTGGTAGTTTCATCTTCGAGCAAGTCAATTTCTATACGCTCAATTGGGATTAGGGTGAGATCGTCTATTAAATGATCGTCGAGGTTGAAATGATTAGAAACAGGCTTGTCTTTCTGTAATTTGATGTCTGACCTATGAGCATTAAAGCGAGTTCGTAAATTATTCTTAGTTTCTCCTACATATTGTTTGGGTCATTTCTTGCATGAAATTAAATATATTACATTCGAATGTTCACATGTTAGATGTTCCTGGATCGGGTACCTTTTATTCGTAGAGTTGCTTACAAAATAATGAGTTTCTGATATAAAGGGACATGTTTTGCATCTACTGGACAAACATGGAGCACTTCTTAAACCTGGAGGTACTTCGGCATAAAGTCTGTTTTTAGCTGCTATCTGTGCTAAGGTGGAATTTTTTATGTTTCGTAAAAATCGTTTAGAGTACCCACGCTCTTTCAGTTTTGAGAAAACAATCGTACAGGCTTGGTTGAAATCAGAAGATCATGTACAAATTCGATGAAATCGTAAAACTTGTCACTTAATTATACCAGAAAAGGGTGAAAGGAGCTCTTGTGCAAGAGTTGATGAGTATCAGTTTCTTTGAAATACACTTTAATATCCAGTTTATTTGTTTCTGCTTTCTGGAATCTCCCTTAAAGACTGTGGTATCGACAAAGTCTATGCTTTTGTCACTCACGTTTGCGGTTAGTTTGATAGAAGGATGGTGGTTGTTGAGAATTTCAAAGAATTCCCAAAAC